TCTCCTAGACAATGATGCCACAACTTTGCTTCTCAATTGAAAACAGACATCATCTTTAGAGACATTTGTCTTGTTTAGAGGCCCTAGTACGCCATTTCTCGACCCGCTCTTTCATCTCAGCCCAAAAAAACATCCATATCTTGTCTGACATCTTTGCTACAAACTCGGGCCTTCAACTCGGGCTTTCAATTGAAGGCCCGAGTTGTAGACCCGAGTTTGTAGCAGCGATGTCAGACAAGATATGAATGTTTTTTTGGGCTCAAATGAAAGAGCGGGTCGAGAAATGGCGTGCTAGGGCCTCTAAAGATGGTTTTGAACCAGGGGAGACTCCTAGACCCCACTGGACAATGTTGTCACAATTGCGCTTTTCAATTGAAAACAGACATCATCTTTAGAGACATTTGTCATCTTTAAAGACTTCTGCACGCCATTTTTCGAGCCGCTCTTTCATTTGAGCCAAAAAAAACATTCATATCTTGTCTGACAGCTTTGCTACAAACTCGGGTTTTCAACTCGGGCTTTTAATTGAAGGCCCGAGTTGTAGACCCGAGTTTGTAGCAGCGATGTCAGACAAGATATGAATGTTTTTTTGGGCTCAAATGAAAGAGCGGATCGAGAAATGGCGTGCTAGGGCCTCTAAAGATGGTTTTGAACCAGGGGAGACTCCTAGACCCCACTGGACAATGTTGTCACAATTGCGCTTTTCAATTGAAAACAGACATCATCTTTAGAGACATTTGTCATCTTTAAAGACTTCTGCACGCCATTTTTCGAGCCGCTCTTTCATTTGAACCAAAAAAAACATTCATATTTTGTTTGACATCTCTGCTACAACCTCTGGTCATCAACTCTGGTTTTCAGTTGAAATTGGAATTGTTAATTTACACAATAATAGGAGTGCATTGACAATTTTTTCTTAACTCGCAAAAATCTTCAAACAATTTGCTACCGATTGGTGATAAAATTTTTAGGAAATAATGNGGAAATAATGAAATAGGGGGGGATAACGCCTTTTTTTTCAGGGGTGATTTTTCAAAAATTTATTTTAAAATTACTAACTAGCAAATGTTTTTTATTAGCTCGCAATTTTCTTCAAAACTACTTCAATGAGGAAAAAAATAATAATTTGGAATATCTATACATGAGGGGCGAATTGATCGGATCTTAAACCTTTGGATTCACCGGATATGAGTAAACAAACCTATGGTCAGAAACCGGAAATTATATGGTGCCTCCTCTCTCGAGAGGATATAACCAAAATATAACCTCCTTACACAAACATCGGAGAAGAATTGGTGTAATAAATAAAAATTGGTTATAAATAAAAAGGGACATATATAACCAGTAAGGAATAACAACAACAACAGCATAGTAATGTTACACCTGGCGACATTTTCACCGGAACTAATTGTCACACAGAATAACTTGATTCATCAACAATAAATTATTCAACATTGTCTCTTCATACATTTCTCATTCAGAATTACCGGTAACATGAAGGTGACAGTGAAAAGTAAGTAAGTTTCATACAGTTCCATGTAATTCACCATAACATGATCTCCCTAACCAAGAAAATGTGATTTTCAAGACAAATTATTCTTGCAATTTTGATATTCCACATTACGATTAAATTTTCACAATGAATTTCTTCTTTAAAGGCTGGACAGGTGTTGCCACTTGGAGATGGATAGCTAACGACGACAATTGTGGAATTTGTCGAATGCCATTTGATGCGAGTTGTCCAGACTGCAAAACTCCCGGTGATGATTGCCCCTTAGGTATGTGAAAAATCAAATAATCAATCCATTTCTCAAGTGAGAATGGATCATTTTGCCATAATATAAACTACCCTGATAAATCAAACCCAGAGTTAACTTTGGGTTAACTCTGGGTTTGATTCATCAGGGCATCTAGTCATTGCAATTGAAAATAAATAAATCTACGTCTCATCGTAAATCGTATCAACTAACGTTATGTTTCAACTCTCTAAGCATATTAATCATAAATAGTAAATCTTTCTAATCTTTAATCATAAATATGTAAATTAATAAACAATAATTGACAATGAAAATTTAATTTACAACGACATAAAAGTCTTCACTTTCGAACTAGATTGATCAGACCCATGAGTGTGAATATTGAATATTGAATATTGTGAAGAAATAAATTCAATAGCGAAGTGGTAAAACGGTACAAGTCAATTTTAACTATTGACCAGTTTTCAATGAATATCTCGGAATCTGAGGGAGATAGCGAAATTTTTGTTATCACCTTATTTGTAGAGCCGATGGAGAGCTACAACAAATGTTATTACGAAAATTTCGATATTTCCCTTAGAGTCCGAAATATTCCGCAAAAACTCAACTGGGAGATAAGTCGACTTAAACCGTTTTACTACTTCGCTACTGAATTGTTTGATTCGAATTTGAAAGTCTCGAACATGAATAATTGCTCTGCTTTCGATAACAACGAAGTATTCGGTTCAAGAGGCGGATAATTCACACGAGACGGTGCCTTTTCAAGATGAAAATATCTCATATAGAGGAAAATTTATCAAGAAACATTTCGTCTCTAAGTTACAAGATTGCTATCACATAATTATTATTTAATTTAAGGATTCATTTATTGTCTGTGATTATTGAACTGGCGAAAAGAAAAACTACTATTACTTGTTTCACATAAAACGAATATTTCCCGGGAGCAAAATACGCACGGGAGTATCGAATAATGAAGAAGTAGTGCTAGAAATGATTTTTTGTTTGCGTAGTGAATACAATTTTTTTGAAACTACAAAATCTATTTTTGCGACAAAAAAATTCCATCACGGCGCACTCTTTGCATGTTTGGTATAAAAAATCCTTTTTTGATAATTTTGAAAAAACTATTTTTTGGCACAAGTAAGACTTGTTTGAGAACTCTGTCGTTTTCCTCTCAGTGTAGCACTCAATCTCTCTCTGCATCAAAAATATTCGACATGAAGAGAATTCCAATATCAATTAATCTGCAATTAAAATGTATCCGCAGTGTGGGGACAATGTTCCCACTGTTTCCACATTCATTGCATTATGAAGTGGCTTCATTCTCAGCAAACCAGCAGTTTATGTCCAATGTGTCGTCAGGAATGGAAGTTTAAGGAATAAAATACGGTATAATCAACCCTCTTAAGTGTTCCCTCAGCACTCAGTTCACAAAAAGGTGAGAATTCATAATTAATTAAATTCAAGTTGAGGCCCGGGTGGATTATCTTTCGAAAGTTATCTCGATTGTTTTTCCATCTTCATAATGTAAAATATATCACAATTTCTATTGGATTTTACATCACGCAGGAGTCCCTAAAAAATATGATTGTACAATCAAAAAAAGTAGAAAAAAACTGAACATTTTCGAAGAGCCTTTTTAATAAAGATTAAGAAATGAGCTCGATAGAGAGGAAATAGTGAATGGATAATTTATCATGGCAACTAACGATCTGACACCCATTGACTAGGGAAGGGTCGGGTAAAATGGACACTTTGGACTTTTCTCAAATTATTCATAACTCAGAAACAAATGTATCAATAAAGCTCAGTTTAGGCTCATCACAAAGGGAAAGAATTGTTCTTTATATTGAAAAGAAAAAACATTAAATTTCATTAACATTTCAACCCGTCACTAATATTTTTAAAAAAGTCAAAAGTGTCCATTTTACCTCAACCTCCCCCATTGTGACAAATGACGATCTAACAGCCATTAGATACATCAAATTATTAATTTGCAATTTCCTCCCTATTGGGTTTATTTGCCAATATTATTAAAAAACGCTCTTTAAAAATGTTCAGCTGTTTTTCAACGTTTTTTTGATTGTGCAATCATAATCTTTGAAGAGTCCAGGGCTGTGTAAAACTCAATAACAACTGGAGATCATTTCAGATTATCAAAATAAAAAAAACAATCAAGATCACGTTCAAAAGATAATCCACTCGGGCCTTAAATAACAAAAAAATAAAGAAGCAACATGTAAAATAGTGAAACCTCGATTTTCTCCTCCAGGGATTTGACTGAAAAAGATTCACTTTGAGAAACCACTGCGAGCAAAACAGATGTGCAGAATGCAATGGAATAAGTACATACGTGACTTCTTGTACGACGTTGTCGAATCCTTCCATCAATGAATCACGTAAAACCATGGAAAAACAGGTATCATTAACTTCAATTATAAATGAAGAACAAATAAACTCAAATATTTCTTTTGACATTATTGACTAAATCATTTCAATGAATTTAGTTACTTTTTTTCTTTCATACTCATAACTCTGAAGTAATGATTCATCTCTCAGAGACGTCTCAACGTCTCTGTTGAGACATCGGCATAATCATAAATTTTAATTAAAGTTAAATTTTGAATAAGTCAATTGTTAATATTGTTCACAAATTTTTTAATTATTATTAAATTAATCATCAATTAAATATACCGATTGCGAATTATTTTATCAATCAATAATTGAGTTCGCAAGATTGACGATTATTTGGCTGATCGAAAATTCTTTTAGGAAACATAAATATTTTTGGCACTACACTGAGAGAAAAACGACAAAGTTTTCAAACAAGTCTTAATTGTGTCAAGAAAATAGTTTTTTGAAAATTATCAAAAAAAGGATTTTTTCATGTCAAACATGCAGAGAGTGAAACGCAAAAATAGATTTAGTAGTTGAAAAAAAATTGCATGCTCTGTACACGCAAGAAATGTCATTTCTAGCACTGCTCCTTCGTTATTCGATACTCCCGTACCTATTTTGTGCCCGAAAAATTTTTGTTTTATGCGGAACAAGGGATAGTAATTTTTCGTTTCGCTGTCTCATAATCACAAACAAGAAATGAACCCTTAAATGAAATAATAATGATATGATAGTAATCTTCTAACTGAGGGATAAAATATTTGTTGATAAATTTTCCTCTATATGAGATATTTTCATCCCGAAAGGGCACCGTCTGGTGTGAATTATCCGCCTCTTGAGCCAAACATTTCGTTGTTGTCGAAAGCAGAACAAGTATTCACGTTTGAGACTTTCAAATTCGAACGAAACGAACTCTTTTTTGGCAATTTTCAACTAGCGATTTTGTTGGCCCAAATAAGGCTTATTTGACGTGTTTGTTTTTCTCTCAGTGCCTCGTGCCGTAAAGTAAACAAAAAATGTTTTTGTTTACTTGTAAACGAAAAAGGCACAGTTTGGCCACTCGCTGAACGTAACACCACTGTCAAAAAATATTGTTCGACACATGTGAGACGATAATTTTCACGAGTGCGAAGCGTGAAGGCTCACTCGTATCGAAATATACTATTTCGGGCTTTTTGGATCACACTGGGTCGACATAATTTTTTTTGTTTTTAGTTGATGGCCAAATGGTCTCAAGTAAAGTGGATTAAAATATCGATAGCCTTTCCATTTTTTTCCCCAATTTCAATAAATTTCTCTCGAATGTTTTTGTTGAAAATTCCTGAAATTACATCGAATAAATATATTGTATCCTTAGTAATATCTTTATTATCATTCATTATCTCAAATTGGAAATCAACGATACAAGTAGTAATATAATAATGATGTATAGAATATTACTCCATGTTTTTCAAGGGCTAAAAGTGGAAATAGTGAAATAAAAAATTATTTAAATGGTAGTTTCGAAGTAAATTCTTTCATTCATCATTACTCTCGTCTAATTACTACGTCCTCACTTTGCTTTACATCGAAGAAAAATACCTTGATATTTCCTCAATTACGCTGACAAGGTTTGTTACATATCCATTGATACTATAAATTGATTCTCAACCATAAATAAGACGAAAAGAGAAAAACTAATAGTTTTTAATTAACCATGTTTCTTCATTTTGTCATATAATATCAATATACATAGGTTTTTCTCTTGCATTAATACCATTTACACACTTCTCTCATTTATCTCAATTTCTCGCTGTATTTTTTTCACTTCATTTATCATCTCACGAAAAACATTCGACAATCATGATAATAAATGAAGAAAAACAAAAAAAAATATTCATGTTTTTTATATATATATATATATCAACAGTAATACTGAAGAAAAAAAAATCAGAACAGAAAAAATGGCACAGATATTGTGAATTTGTGTATTGAAAAGTGGTAAACCGTCATTATTTTGAAAATGAATGATTTCAATAGAAAAGGCCAAGGGACATTAATGACTGGCAAATTATCCAACGAAGATGATCACTTGGCATTTACCCCAGGGGAGAGTGCCCTCATTATCAAAATAATCCGATATCGAACAGTAGTGTTATCATTTCCTTGGTGAATTTAAGATGATAGGATTGACAACGAAATTGTTAATGATTTATTGGTATTGAAAATGAAAAGCATTTTGATCGTTAATAGACTGATAATAAATTAATAGGACGCAAATTCACCGGGAAATGCGCCATGACTCAATTAAAAACATGTTTTTTCTTCTTTATTTACATTTTTCTTAATTATTTCCCTCGCTTTCTCTCTCTCACGTTCTGCTGTTGTTATTATTGTATTATGTATACATTTTTTTGGGCGCAAAAAGCGGCTTTCTAATCAATAACTGCCTGTTGATCTTTGTTTTTTCATTGAAACATCAATCGTTTTGTGGTTCTCGTATTTACCAGTTGAATTTTAGCAGTAATAATTGATGTCTCTGTTGCATACGCGAGAAACGTCTTAATATTGCAACACGTAGAGTCGCGGCGCTTGTTCTTAGTTAATTCCTACTGTGATTACTGCGTGGACTTGACGATTGACTGCTGGACGCTTCCTGGGCCTTTTGAATGTAAATATTCAAAAGTTTCAATTTGCCACCGTAGAGATTTTTTTTGTACGGCTCAAAGGCCTCCTCGCCTATTGCTGCATGAATTGCTACCATGCAAAAGACAGCAGCTTTGCGTACTACACTTTCGTTGTTGTCGTAAGCCTAAAAAAATTATATGATGTTAACGAGGTACAATGTCAAACAGGGTGAACAGTCCAATTGCAGAAAATTAACGAAACACTTGAATATTCGATATTTCCATCCACGACATGACAATATAATGGACATAAACCCCCCAGCTGTCATTTCCAGCCATTTAGCGACAGGCGAGTAGTTAAATGTGACAGTGTGACCGCTAATTTGACCGAACGAAGTTACTTGGGTTAGTAATCATCAAATGTCGTAAGCCCCGACTAATATTGACCCTAAAAGCTTCACTTTTTCATATTTTTGCATTAATTTTATCCGAAAGTTCTTATTTCTACAAATATATGGGTGTTCCGAGATTTGGGTTGGGCTTTCATGGCATTTCCAATCGACGGAATACTGATGTTTTTGTTTGGCACGTGGCAGAGTGGTTCAGTCAAAAGTGTATAAATAATTGATAAGTTGAAAATATCATGACATTTATGCTTCTATTCCTTATAAAATGGCTTTGACAAATTCATATACGAAGAAAGTCGAGTTATGTCTTCATGTGATCGACATTGCTCATTTTGACGTTTGTTCATTCGTAAGAGTTTTTTTGCATAATAAAATTAGTATGACAATTCCAATTTTCAAATATAATCTGAACTTGTTGACATTTTTCTACAAAATATTCTTCTTACTTCGAGTTCCTAATCTTTCCCATCTCACAAAGTTCTAATGATCCGTAATTGGGCGCACGATATTCCATATTCCCGATTATTTTTCATTACATAATGTGTTTTTCTTTTCTGAAACCTACAGAATTTGGAATGGACCAGTATTTTTTTATATTTTTTCAAAACAATAGTTCATTTTCAAACCATTGTCTGAACCTCTGAAAAGCCTGGAGTGTTCCCTAATTAGACGGTTCCCCTATTATCTTACATGAATGAATAAATAAAAAATAAAGTAATGATATGCAATTATTACCAGCATCAATGTATTCATAATGCCATCTAGTTGTCCCTCAATAGCGGTTTTCCCTCCATGCTCCACGAGATTTTGTATCATTTTAATGGCAGCAACATTTCTTGGAAATGGTTCTGTCTGAATGGTCGGTAGAGCCAAATGAATAATATGAGACGGAGGTAGTACAGTAGCTATCACTGCTGCACAGTCCTCAGCAGCCTTCAACAGCTGGAGAGGCTTGGTTGAGCCAACAGTTGATCCATGTCCTCCTCTCCGGGGACTGCCAGAATTCGGATCGTAAGCATCTGGCTTGTGCTCATCCAGTACCTTGATCACTAGCAGCTCCACATAAGGCTGAAAATTGTCCAACAACTCCTTACACCTCAGCATTTCCACGAGAGTCTTCAACACCTCGATCTCCAGTGGTTTATTATTAGTCGCCAACAGATCTAACATTGTCTTGAGAAATTTCTTGAACTGCAATTTTATAAATTGCGCCCCATCCCCTCGGACATAACTCTGAAATTCCTGGAGTACACTGGCTTTCTCAGCGGGCTCTACATCACTCTGAAGGAGTCTCAAACTCTTGTTGAAAAAATCAGGACCTCTTGGGCCACAATTACTCCCACTACCACCGCCATCACCATGTCCACCATCCATTATTCCATTATTTCTTCTGTTAGGAAGGATCAAATCACCAGCAATTGTGTCACTCCCACTGCCATTACCATTTACCATTGTAGAATTGACTGATCTCATCCTCTGGGTTGGTGACGACACTGAAGAAGATCTTCCTGAATTCGACATTGTCAAACATTCAATTCTCTCCTCGACATCGGCCATGTTCGATATTCCAGAGTCCTTGGATGTGGCAGGTCCTTCCATCCTCTCAAAACTAAAATTTTGAATTTCAGCTGTTGTTTTTCTCAATGATTTGTAGAATTCCTCGGCATTCAGACTGCTCTCGTCGTCGTGAGAATTATCAAGACAATTAGCACTCTCCAAGGGTCGATGAGGAGTTTTCATGGGTGAGGGGGGTGTGTAATAATGCTTCGAGGGAAGATGAGTATTTGGTGAGGCGGGTGTTGAGGTGGAGGCGGAGGCAGAAGCCGAGGCTGAGGCTGAAGCTGAGGCGGAATGGGATGAGCGTCGAAGGTGGGTTTGTATAATGGGCATTGCAATGTCCTGGTAGAGTTGAGGGAGTTCATTGAGTATCATAGGGAATTGAGGTGGATTGAGGTTGTACAGGGCGATTACAGACTCCTGGGCGTGACGACGAACCTCTTGGGATTTAACGTCGTTGGTCCAGTCAAGGAGGCGAACAAGGGCGGATTTGCATGAGGAGTTGAGGGCTGATGGCTCTGAAGAGTCGGCCGCATGACTGAGAAAACTGAGAGTCGAGATTTTGACGCGTGAGTTGGGCTTCTGCGTTGGATCGGTCAGGAAACGCATTATGCAAGGCAGAAGCTGCTCCCCTGGAAAGTAGTCTCTGATGACGTCGAGCGTTCTGTTGATTTTCGTCTGTATCGATGCTAATAAATCGGTTCCCAATTTGTTAAGCAATTTCGTGCAGAGGACGTAGAGCCAATCACCCAGATCCTCGTGATGTGTTACGATTAATTCATTCAACGTGTCCAGGAATAAACTGAAGACCTTTGTATGCGAATCCATAAACATTTTCGTGAATATGTCGGTGATTTTACGCAACTCTGTGGCTGATAGAGTGTTGCCATTGGCTAAAAACTGCTGGAGATCGATCAGGCCCTCCTTACGCTCGCCCCAGTGTTTTCGGTTGCAGTATTCGATTATTTCTTTGATGTCCTAGAGAGGAAAATTGGGATAATTCGTTAAACAAGTTGACAATGGCATTTTTTTAAAATGAATATGGTAATTGTTGCTAATGTACTAGCAATTTGCCTCCGAATGGATTCTCTTTTTTTAAGGCCCGGGGGGATTATCTTTCAAACGTTATCGCGATTGTTTTTCCACCTTCATAATGTAAAATATATCACAATTTTCAGTCGATTTTACATCACGCAGGAATCCCTAAAAATTATGATTGTACAATTTAACAAAGTTGAAAAAAACTGAACATTTTCAAAGAGCGTGTTAGAGATTGAGGCTACAGTTACGGCGGATTAGGGACATGTGATATGGAAAGGGTGAAATTAAGGATGTTCTACACCCTTTTTGCCAAAATTCACGTTTTTTTAATTTTTCTGGCAAACTTATGATGGAATTGACGTGAAAAAATATAATATTTTTGCGTTTTGTCATTATTTAATGACTGACGAAATTTTAAGGTGGTGGGAACATTTTCCTGCGTTTTCTCTAAACTTTTAAAAAGAATCACAAAACTGTAGAAAAAACGCATGAAAATTATCGCACCACTACGCAACTTCGTGAGCCATTAAAGAATGACAAACCACAAAATCGTTATATTTTTTCACGTCACTCCCATCGATAATTTGCCAGAAAAATGAAAACAACGTCAATTTTGGCTAAAAGGGTGTCGAACATCCTTAAAGACACGTGGATTACAAAAACACTGGTGATGTACTTTATTTGTGGCGCAAGCCACGCGTCTTGATTTCAGGGATACACGAATTAGTGAATGTCTCAATGTCGATTTGATAATAGTCTTTCACTGGAGTAGAGATTCTCTCGATATTAAACTTGATGATTGACTAAAAATAACTGATAGTTAACTCAGAATTAATTGATAATTGAATCAAATAGAGACGCTACACAGAGCGCTACACTCAATATAATCCTTGCGAACGGGCTGTTTTTTTTTATTAGAGAAAAGGAAATAAACAAAAGAAAATGTTCAAATGACAAACCTTTGGAACTGAAGGCTCCCACAGATCACGGTAGAGTCTCTGCTGTGAACCGCTCCACGAGTACGACTAAATTATTGTAATTCCCAGAGTGATGACAATGATGATGTGTAGGTGTATTTATCCCAGGCAAAAAGCAATCCAACGAAAAATCATTTTGAGAAATAAATTCCCGAGCAACATAAAAAAATTCAAATAAACATAACACACATTAGTGACATGCATCTAGGGTAATTTTTAATTGCACAATGTCTTGTGTCTTATGAAATTATGACAATTATGGAATTATGAAAAATAAAAATCAATTGATATCAAATAATCCGTTGAGGTGAAAGTTTTTCATTATTCTTACTTACGTCACTAGGTCTCCGGAAATTGTCCATGCTCCTTTCCGAGCATATACTGCTAGTTTCACTCTCATCACTGTGATCCCCTTTTCGTTGAGACCGCGAGTGATGATGATCATTGGTATCGAAGGAAAGGGCATCAGCCAGAGCTGATTCTGCCTCTCTTGAACGTTGCAACATCTTCTCGGCCATTACTGGGGCCCTTGGAGATGCGTACATATTTCTATTCCTGGAAGTAGCACAATTAGTGGTACATTTAGTGGTACAAATAGTGCAATTGTGTTTCTACCTTAATTTTGTTCCTAAAGTTCCAAATCTCTGGGGACTAGGGTCACGACTATTCTCCGAACTTCTCATTCCTTGGCCTGATAATCTTCGCGGCCTCGGAACTAATGAATCCCCATCCCGGTTATATGTTGCATAACTGAGCCTTGATGATGGCGAACATGACCTACTACTTGCTGGAATAATTAAAAAATCAAAAGAATTATCAACTTTAATAATGATGAACGAAAATATCCAAATTAAGGCCTCGTTGGACCATCTTTCTAATGTTATCTGCATTGTTTTTTGGCGATTTTTCATCTGGAAATTCCCATTCGGTTTTGCATGATGCAGAGAACCGCAAAAATCCAGATGTATGCTTAAAAAAAGTTTAAAAAAATGAAAAATTTTGAAAGAGCGTTTTCAGTTTTTATTGAGGAATAATGCAAATAATGAGAAAATTAGAAATGTAGGGGAGGGTGGGATAAAATGAAACATGGGGCAAAATGAAACAGATGTAAAACGACTATTTGACGCAATTCAATCAAAAAAAAAATTTTTTGTCAACTTTTGTTTATTAACTTTTTTTATTATTGGGTTCAATTGATTTGATTAGGCAGATTACCCTTTTTTTCATTCGATTGAAATTCAGTATCACATTTTCCTCTTCCCAATCTAGGTTTCCCCCTGGGCCCTTCCTCTGGACTTTGGATTTTGTTGTTTCATTTTCTTTTCAATTGATCCATTGACAAAATCTTCTCCCGTCAAAACATGTTAATAATTTTCCACGCTACTGAATGGAAAATTATTATTCTAATCAGTACTCCCAATAATAAAAAAAGTTAATAGACAAAAAATAATTTTAAAAAAATACAGTTGAAAAAAAAATTTTTTTTTGCTTGAATTGCGTCAAACAGTCGTATTTTCGACTGTTTTATTTTGCCCCCTTCTCTCCTATTATTTATAAACTCTTAAATGCTTTAGTAGACTGCACATAGACAACTGATCCAGAAAAAACTCTTTCAAAATTTTCTAAATGTTGTTAAAAAATTTTTTAAAACATTTACACTTTCACTACGAAATAATGATCATTCACGGCGTAAAACTGTTATGAAACATGAGGTGCGAATCAGCTGTCACTTTTATGGAGAATTAAATAGAAGTGACAGTTGATAATGAAGTAGTAATTTCCATGAAAGTGACGGCTGATTTGCACCTCAATGTTTACAACAGTTTTACGCGGCGAACAGTCATTGTTCCGCAGTGAAAGTGTAATCAAAAAATTTTTAAAAATACTTAAAACAATGAAAAGGGCTCATTCAAAATTTTCTCTTTTTTTTTTACTTTTGTTTGAGCATACAATTATATTTTTTGCAGTTTCCTGCGTCATGCAAAACCGAATGAAAATTTCCAGATAAAAACATTCTCAAAAGAGGATCTAGATCACATTTGAAAGATAATCCAACCGGGCCTTAACTCTGGAAGAAAAAGAAAACAGTATTTTTCCTTACGTTGAGACTGAGAAACGCCTGAGACTCTAGTTTTCGTCCTAGCATTTCTCTCAGGACTTGCAGTAACTGCTGAGTCCAATGGTCGGACTGATCGAGCTAAAAATCATAAAATAAATCAATAACTCAACTTCAACATTTACCCCGTAAATAAAATATTTCAGTGATCTTTTTATGTTAATTAGACTTTATCAGAAAATGTTGGAATTAATTGATTCACTAAAATCACTGGAATACTCTAAATAATAATTGACGACGAAAATAAAATGAAACATTGATGAAGGCACAATAGATGAATTGGTACCTTGTCTATTCTGATGGTCGTTATCTATTCCACGTGAACAATTGGAATTGTTCAATATACAGTATTTAATTTTGTACATAATTTTTTTATCATTTAATGCAGCAGTAAAATTATTGAAAAATTACTCACGGGAAGTAATTTTACTGCGGTTGAGATTACCATACAGAGCTCTTGCTTGAGCTCTCCTTGCAGCATTCAGGTCAATAGCACTGTTAGAACGAGGTCCCGGCGACACGCGACCTTGAAACAATGGAAAAAAAAAAATTAAATTTCAATGGCTCATTGAAAAATGGCGTTTGTTCGAAGGTTTATTCTACTTGTTACACGTCTATCCCGGAATTCCCGTAATTTGGAAAATATAACTCAAGAAATAATTACATTAAAAAACATGTAGGAACAATAAAATCTGTCGAATCACTTATTATAAATGATAAAATTAAATAAGAATGATTAAAACAAACAGTTAAATCCTTTCATCCCTTAAACAATAAAGAGTGCATATCAATATACAACGTTGTGATGATGTTAATATGTTGACCAAAATTATTAATGATAATAACCAAATGATAATTATGAAAAGAATTACAGTAATTGTCAGTTGGTCTTTGGAGTACTGGAATTCCAGACTGACGATAAGAACGTGGCAATGATGGTGTCCTTTTCAGTGGCCCGTGTGGCGGACTCTGAGTCTGATGAAGATTTTCCGTGCTGCCTTCTCGTATTTTTCAATGATTTTTAATCAACATTTATTTTTTTCATTATTATTTTTTTTTTATCAAGCAGATAAATTCATTATAATGGTAATGTCCAGGATTGGATTGTCATGAGCCAGCATGAAGAAAAGGAAAAAAATGAGAGCATTTGAGCAACACATTTATCCAAATTATTCAAATTCATTCAATTAATATTATTTCGTCTTCAGGAAAAATAGTGGGTTATTATTAAGGTTAAGAATGTGATGTTTAGTTGATGATTACCTGCTGCACTCATGGCGGGTCTGGTAGGTCTTGGCGGAATTGAGGAGGTTCGAGTAACTGCATTCAGACTGTTTATGCTGCCACTATTGCTCTGTGATAATAATGTACGTTTGCAATTGCTGTCCATAGTGTTCAAAAGGGCCTCTGCTTGATCAGGGAAGTGGTCTCTAAATGCCCAATAAGCTCTGAATCAAACAAACAATGAAAAACATTAATTGCAGATTCATCTCGTGAAAATATATAAATAAAAAATAAAAAACAGGTTGATTTCTCGATTTTGGCACAAGGCAGAGTGATTACAGAGTTTTATTCTATGACAAAAAAGAAAAATGGTTATATCTCGTAAACTTTTGATTGATTTAGGTAGGAGGCATCGAAACGAATATTTGGAAAACAAAAAAATCGAAATCGTTTCACTAGTTTTGAAGATATTTGCGGAAAACGATTTCAAAACGAATGGCTTTTTCTCAAAAACTATTATGTCGATCGGGCTGAAATGTTGCACAGAGTTAGTCCTCATTAAGACCTATAATTTGACAAAATTTCAGATTTTTTGGAATTACGCGGTGGGCATGCTCACATACAGACGTGATCATCGAACTTCGTATTTTTACGTTTCAGGCCATTCTACATAATTTCTAATCAAAATTAGAGAATGTCAAAATTGGCCGATTACAATGCTTCCATTCGGAAGCAAAAAATAATAGAATAGAATTTATTTCTCTTGATGTTACAAAGGATACTTTTTCTTGATTTCACATCTCCACTAGCCTTTTCTCCTTGTACATTTCTCTTTGGTCACACTTTGCATTATTTACATTTCTTATATTTCTAAGCAAAACTAATTGTAATTGAGAAATCATGAACAAAAAAAAAACATACTTCCTTGCAAATACCCTGGCCTCTGCATCGGAATCGGCTACACCCTTGCCAATCGTCTCCTGCAATGTTTTTATCTGCTTCTGAAGGAGTGTCGTTGGCCACCCTTGCAGCATCAGTGCAACATATTCACAAGCTGCTCTTCTGATGTCTCTACTCTTACTAGATAATGAGGCGGAAATAATGGGAATGAAGCGACTACTGTGAGTGTTCTGTAGGATAAACCTAAGAGCTACAGCTCCCGATGTTGCCATAATCTGAAAATTTGTGCATTTAATAATTATCAATTTTTCTTTTGCCATTTAAGGCCCGGGTGTACCATCTTTCGAATATTATCTGGATTTTTTCTATCTTTCGTAATCCAAAATTGTCAATTGAGTGGTACATCATGTAGAAATTCCCAAAAGTTATCATAGAATGATTACAAAAAATAGAAAAAATTTAGAATTTTTTCAAAGAGCGGTTTTAATTGAGATTCAGAATGAGTTGAAAAAAGTGGAAATTACAAATATCTGATTTGCTGTGGTAGATTATCTATTAGCTGTCATTCTCCATCGTGGATAACAAAACATTAACTCCTCATGGAAAGTGACAGCTAGGTATCTCAATTTTCACAACAGTGGTATGTAGTCATCTGGCATTTTGATGTGATAAAAGTGTGATTAAAAAATTCTCCAAAATATTACAACTTTTTTCAAAGAGCCTTTTCCGTAATAAATGTCTCTGTGCAATGTCAGAAAAGATTTACGAAATCAGTCTTCCCCCTGCATGATATTGGGTGACAGGCCGCCATTTGTCACCGTAAATCAGATACATTTTTCAATTTCTTGTTATTCAACTTATTCTAAATATAAATTAAAAATCCTCTTTGAAAAAATTAAGAATTTTTTCTACTTTTTTGAGTATTCATTCATAATTTTTCAAAACTTCTGCATGATGTAGGACTTAATTGACAATTTCAGATGACGTAAGATGAAAAAAAACATGGAGATAACGTTCGAAAGATGGTACCCCCGGGCCGTAAACTACGTTTAATGCTGTTGTTTAATATTTAAAATCTACTAACCTTAGCACTATTTTGTATGAGATTCATAAGAGGTCCTAGTAAGCCCTCTATAAAAACTGCGAATTTGTTCTTGAGGTGTCGACTCAGGAAAGCAAGTGTTATGCAAGCCTCCTTAACAACCTGGGATCGTAAGTCTGTAATTGCACCCTCGTAACTATTCTGCAAACTCTTGAGTAAATCCATGAAATTTTCGTTATTCGCACCACCGGCCAAAATGATGCCACGCAATTTTTTCAACTAAAAATAATTGTAAAAATCTTGTCAATTTTTTCAATTTTTCTATTAATCACTGTTATCACATTTAATCACATTTGAAATGGTTTTGCAAAGAGAGTTTCTCTCGGCACTTTAAACGTACAAAAAATCAATGTCATTGAGATGATTATTTTGCTTACACTATCAATTCTTTGGTTCCAGTCTTTCTTGTCATCGCCAATGATCTCTCGAATCACCTTGATTTGATCCTCGAGATCACGTGGGGAGAATAAATGGACACTTGGAACATCCTCAAACGCTGTGAGAAAGGTTTCTTCATCAATTGCACCGGCTCCCCCTTGAGAAATGAAAAAATCAATCAGTTCAGTGAATTCTACACTATTGCGTCCGAATGGAAGCTTTGTAATCGTTCAAATTTAAGTTTTGGATTTTTTATGTTATATCGACCCAGTAAGATGCAAATTTTGTTCAAATACAGGTATTGTAGAGCGCTGTCAATCGCCATTAATGGAAATTTAATTCATCAATTAGTTTTTTGATTTTCAATTTTTTTCGAAAATCGGTTGTCCCAAGGTAACTAAAAAAATGTTCTGAATTGATTGAATGATGGCTTAAAAAACTTGTTTGGATGTCCCTTTGACCGAGTTCGAAGATGAAGGCGATAGCAATAATCATTATTTTGATTTATTTAAAAATTTGAAAAATTTTTGTATTTTTTGAAAATCAGAATTCCGGGGATATCTTTGAATATCATGCGTCAAATGAATTTAATCATAGCTTAAGATGTTTGTTATAATGACATTAAGTCGAAGTTGAAAGATGATTGATGGCTATATTTGTTGATTTAAGTTTTATGATGATTGTTGAAAATTTCGAATTTTTCATGAATTTCTCTGAAATTGAGCTTTCTGATGGTTTTTTCAAATGTGATGTTTCAAATTAATTCAAGTATGTATAAATAACATTTTTCTATTGACATTTTATCGAAGGGCTGAGGGGAGAGATAGATAGAACTGTATAAAAGACAATTGGTTGTATAGAAGAAACGAATAATAAAAATAATGATGATGATGATAACATTCAACTAACTTGAAAATCTGACAAAATTAGTTGAAAAAAAATCTTGTTCAATTTAACAAAATGAGATAAACAATGAATTATACATGACAGAAGAAAATAATGTGCAGAATAACCATTCGGAAGCATATGGCTAATTTATTAGCGCAAATAGTTATGCTATGTGCAATGCAAAAGCAATTTCCCACTTGTTTGACTCCTATTCGAATCAAGTCTTTTATTTTCAACTCACCCACTGATGGTAGTAGTTTCGAAGCGGGTCCAAATTGACTCTTCTTTTGAAGGACACTTTTCACTCGTTTAACTGGTGCTGATTTAACCTATAGAAGAAGAACGAGTATTGACAACTTATTAAAAAAAATAATAGATCCATTTTTTTCTACTCACAGCTCTATCAGGTTCGTCATGTTCTCTCCCAACTGTAAAACAAATTCAATGTCAGTAAATTACTAAATTGAATGGAATTGAATAAATTGTCGTCGGTTATTTTGTCCGCGGATCATAAGTTACGGAACCCAATGTAGTAGTCAACACATCAAATTTTAATTTACAGTAAATGATGAATGATAATTTTAGTCTTCTGCTGTCGAATCTTTCGCTAGTTCCAGCTTTATCTATGAATTGAGAAGAATTTGTTTGCTGGAGTGGCGGAAGCATTGTAATTGTATGTAAAATGTGAGTTATCGCATTGAAAATTACGAATTAAATGTTATGTATGAATTCTGAGTTACTTTTTTCTTTTTGGCACTTGACATTACTTCAGAAAAGGATGAAATTCAATTGAAATTTTCGGGAAATTTGACGGTGGTTATTTTGTACCTCGGGAATACTGAATGGGGGGGAAATAGTCGGTGAGAAATTTGTCAACGGATAAATTGTCGTCGGTTATTTTGTCCGCGGATGATAAGTTACAGAACCCAATGTAGTAGTCAGTCAACACATCAAATTTTAATTTACAGTAAATAATGAATGATAATTTTAGTCTTCTGCTGTCGAATCTTTCGCTAGTTCCAGCTTTATCTATGAATTGAGAAGAATTTGTTTGCTGGAGTGGCGGAAGCATTGTAATTGTATGTAAAATGTGAGTTATCGCATTGAAAATTACGAATTAAATGTTATGTATGAATTCTGAGTTACTTTTTTCTTTTTGGCACTTGACATTACTTCAGAAAAGGATGAAATTCAATTGAAATTTTCGGGAAATTTGACGGTGGTTATTTTGTACCTCGGGAATACTGAATGGGGGGGAAATAGTCGGTGAGAAATTTGTCAACGGATAAATTGTCGTCGGTTATTTTGTCCGCGGATGATAAGTTACAGAACCCAATGTAGTAGTCAGTCAACACATCAAATTTTAATTTACAGTAAATAATGAATGATAATTTTAGTCTTCTGCTGTCGAATCTTTCGCTAGTTCCAGCTTTATCTATGAATTGAGAAGAATTTGTTTGCTGGAGTGGCGGAAGCATTGTAATTGTATGTAAAATGTGAGTTATCGCATTGAAAATTACGAATTAAATGTTATGTATGAATTCTGAGTTACTTTTTTCTTTTTGGCACTTGACATTACTTCAGAAAAGGATGAAATTCAATTGAAATTTTCGGGAAATTTGACGGTGGTTATTTTGTACCTCGGGAATACTGAATGGGGGGGAAATAGTCGGTGAGAAATTTGTCAACGGATAAATTGTCGTCGGTTATTTTGTCCGCGGATCTTAAGCTACGGAACCCAATGTAGTAGTCAACATATCAAATTTTAATTTGCAGTAAATAATGAATTCTAATTTTAGTGATACCTAAGTCAGAGTACAACCAGGGGGGCTTATGAATATCGCAATGACATCCACGTGCCCTAGCCCCAGGATGTTTGACAATATTGTCCCATTGAAGTATCCAAGTGCTACTGGGGTCCCAGATTTTTTTATCGACACTCGGATACCTAATCAGGCCACGATGTGCACATTTATGCCGGTGAAGACTCACTGGCTGATGCTGTGGCACCACAACACTGGTAGTTCCATACATTTCTCTTTCTTTCGGTTTTTATTGCTCAACATCACTTATTTACTCACAGTAAAACTGCGAATTTACGATAGTTTCGTGTGTATGAAAAACATTTTTACGAGTTTATAAGATCCGTCAACTATTTTAGCCACTAGATTCGGATCAAGTTTCTTTTGATGACGAGGGATTTTTATATTTTGTGAAATTGTTGACGAAAATAATCAAATATTTTATCGTCAATCACCTGAAACTGATTAATACCCGTTCAATGCCTGGAGGAGAAAATAATGCTTGAAAAAGTGTAAAATACACGCGGTGGCTTGTCTCACTGTTGTCAGCTAGCGGGAAATTTATTCACCCTCTCCTGAACGCGATGGAAGTAATTCAACATTGTTTTCTATCATCTCAACATTTTTTTTGTTATTTATTCACTAGACACTTCCCAAACTCACTGGCAATCTCAACTAATGATAGAGTTCACAGATTCGAAACAGTTGTTTAATTAACGGTTGAAAAATCGCCGCTACTTTTTTTTGCCTCAATAAATTATCTGTATATTTTTCATTTTAATAGCACCTTGGAGTTTCAACAAATTCAGCAATTTTCAGAAATTTTTTGAACAATGGACGATTGAAGATATTGAAAAATGTGAGCTATAGCTTGAAAGACACCTCAAAATCTTTACAATCTACATAACACTTGAGAAATTTTCAAAAAATATTTCTCCTAATCAATTTGGATGACAATATTCTTATATAATTCAACTCCATATTTCTTAATTATCCCAAACAAATAAACTGTACTTTATTATTTGGTTGAAGACGATAACAATAAACGATGTAATACGTCTGTTGGTAAACTACATCGACGCGAAATTGTTCGTGAGTAAAGTTTCCATCCATAGCGTTTTAGTTGTCTAGATAAAGGTGGGGTGGGGAAGAGATAGGCTAGTGGGGGAGGGGGAGAGAATTGAGGGAGAGAGAGAGAAAAAGGAAGAGAAGGGTCCGACCTTCTTCTATTATATGGCTTGACTGTTCGATTTGGCAAATCATGAGATTCTTTTTAAAAAAAGAGTAATTTTATAATTAATTTAAATTTTTAAAAAGTAATTTTATAATCTGACCTTCCTCTATTACTTGACTGTTTGATTTGGCAAATCATCAGATTCATTGAAAAAAAAAGTAATTTTATTGTTAATTGTATTATTGTTTACTTGAAAGGAAAAATTGCATTCGAAAAATTTCTAAATAGCGGAATAATTCTGCAACAATAATTTTCAAGGTGAAGATTCTTGGAATTCCCTTGGAATCTTTTATGTATTCTTACATAAACAGTGCGCTCAATAATGAAGAATCGAAGAACCGAAAAATGACATCATGACAAGTGTAGACACTTTTTTCCTAGTTTTTCATTGTGATGAAGAAAAATTTGTGCCGAATTCCACGAGTTTAATCATCTGTTAATCAGTACCTTCACCTACTCGCGTGTCGCAGCAATTGACAATGTACATAAGGAAAATTACATAAGGAGAGATAAAGAGGCAAACAAAAGATGAAAATTTACGGTGGTCTTACGTAAATGGGAATAAACTTTTTAATTCACCAGAAATTGAAATTTTTTTTCTCAAAAAATTCAGGTCTTTGAATTTAGAAATGAAAAAATTGACCAATAAAATCGATTGTGATTCTCCGGTTTTTTCAAACACCAATTTGTGTGAACTAAAGGAATAATAGATCGACTTCATTTATCGAAATGCAAAATTTCAATTTTTTTAGAAGGACCCAATATCATTGGTCATAAAGAATGAAAGTAAATATGTACATAAAGTTTAAAAAAACATGAAAGTGCTTTCAACAACTTGATAGCTCTCATTAGCCTATGAATTTTCTTTCTTGAATTTATTGTACGAGTGCACATGTGCGAAAAGTGAAAGGCGTGTGTTGAGGAGGCACAGAAGTACACGCGAGAGATTCCTAGAGGTATTTACAACTCGATGTTGACTCATTCGGAATTTTCATGACAATATCTTGGGGATTCAGTATCGAAGTGATGTGTAATGTAAGGCAGAAATTATCACTCTCGCTCGTTCACAAATTGCAAAATGTATGTTATTATTCAAAAAAATATTTTGTTGCAATAATCAAACAGATTTATTCATTCTAAACAAATTCCAAGGCTAAAAAAACTGAAAACAATAAATGTTCCTTTTGTATTACGTATAAAGAACGTTCTTTGAAATGGAGATGTTAGAAGACGACAAAACTTTCGTGCTGATTATCCATGACAAGTCTGCTTTTCACGGTTGCTTTGACATTTAAGAATAAGGTTGGTTAAATCAACTGAGTTATGACGCTCCTCAACCAAGCCCACTTGTGACGTAATCGATAATAGATCATCATCACGTTGCACGTTCAACCGGTGTTTTTTGTTTAATAATGGCTTTTCTCATTGTTTGCGGTATTTTTCAACAGCCGAAAAACGACTATTTGACGCAATTCAAGCAAAACAATTTTTTTACGAACTTTTATTTATTCACTTGTTTATTATTGGAAGTACTGATGAGAACAATAATTTTTTCATTACGCCTTGACGAAAAGTGAACTTTTCGGCACGCTCCGCGTGCCTAAAAGTCCAATTTCCGCCACATTGTGATGAAAAATATTGTTCGTAACTCGTGAAAAAATGTTTTTTGGCGAGTGGGAGGTTTATATCACGAGCCGAAGGCGAGTTTTTTGCACTCGTTACGAAATATACTATTTTGACACTGCTGCTACGTTCACCTCGTGCTGAAAAGTGGCTTTTCGTTTACTCGTAAACGAAAGGTAAACGAAAAGTAAATGAAAAGTTTCGCTGAACGTAACATCACTGTCAAAAAATATTTTTCCGTACTGACCTTCACTTTTCCCAGTCCAGGGATTGATATTGACCCTTCCCCGAACTGGCAAAAGTAAAAATCACTACGGAAAAATAGCGTTCGCGTCTAGTGCCACAGGGGTTTTCGAACCGTGTAATTGGCACGCCTCGCCTTCGGCTCGGCTTCGTGCTCACACTCGTACAACCCCAGTGGCACTCGACGCGAAATATACTATTTCATCACGCTGTGCGAAAAAGTAACTTTCCACACATTGCGATAAAAAATATCGTGCCATCCTCATGGGAAAATGGTTTTTTGGCTGGTGGCAATTGTCCCTTTTCCACACATCGTGATAAAAAATATCGTTCCAACACTCATGGAAATAGTATATTTCGATACGATTGCGGGAAAGTTTTTTTTTTGGCTCGTGGGAGGTTTATAGCACGAGCCGAAGGCGAGTGATATAATCCCACGAATCTAAAAACAATTTTCCCGCGAGTATCGAACCCTATTTTTCATCACAACGTGTGGGAAGTGGGATTTTGCGCACGCGGAGCGTGCGTAAAATGTCACTTTACACACAGCGTGATGAAAAAGTTTTTTTTGGCTCGTGGGAGGTTTATAGCACGAGCCAAAGGCGAAAACACTTTTCCGCACTCGTATCGAAATATACTAGTTCGACACTAGTGAAAATTCCGTCTCACTGGTATCGAAATATACTATATAAGCCTTATAATTCAATGGATTATAATTCAATTTTTAAGATTATGCTGACTCCACTTTTCTTTCTTCATTCGATTGAAATTCAGCATCACATTTTCCTTTTTGCCGCTCTGGGTCTCGCCCCGGGGCCTTGCTCGGGACTTTAGATTTTCCATTGACAAATCCTTCTCCCATCAAAACCTCACAATAATTTTCCATTCTACTGAATGGAAAATTATTATTCTCATTAGTGTTCCCAAAAATAAAAAAAATATTTGATAAAGAAATAATTGTTTTGCTTGAATTGCGTCAAACAGTCGTTTTTCGATTGTTCCCTTTTGCCCCACTCACCCCTACAATGGACGTTTTCAAAATAATTTAATTTTAATTTCTAACGAAATTTATTGCAAGAAAAATCCACAAAAAAATTATTTCCAATAGGCCGTCGGCCGAGGGCCTTCAGTTAACTATTTGCATATGGACATGAGCTGTTAGTTCTATTTTTGATGGCGTAACTGAAGACCAATGAGGTGAAGATGATACACTAATTGGTTTTTCAAAATATATCAATTATACGTGACAGTGTTATTTGTTACAAGAATCAATCTTGACGATTGTCCCTTTGAGAATTTACTTACAATTCGTAGTTCCAATGATTTATAATGTGTGTAATTTTTAATACATGATTGTGACGCGTTTTCGAGTATTCTTCAGTAATTCAAAGACGGATTATGCGATGGATATTAATAGGAAATAAGTTTATTACCCACCATGGAAATAATATTCGATCGTTATGGAATGTTTAGCGATTATTATGAAACAGGTTTCTCAAGGATAAAACTTCTGATACAAGAGACATCTTTTCATGTTTTTCAGATGAGTCAATGTGTTTACTTAACCAGTGAACTTTTAAAGAATTTATCATAATTTTTTATCGATTTATTTCATTCAAGAATTAGCCGGCAACTGGATGGAAAATGATGAGTCGAAAGTAAATGGAGATTGGATGAAAATTGTGATGTTTTGAAAGTATATTATGGAAATTAAGGGTATCCAAGTACTTTGGCTATTTTTTCTCCAGCGAAATACTTTTCTACTTTCGTAGGCAAACATCAGAGCTTTCATTTGAGTCCCATTTGACAAAAGTTTCTAGAATTCTAGACATTTTACAATGATTTTATTCGATATTGAACCGTTAAAAAGCATTTTTTAAGTCTGAAAAAAATGAGAAAGTTTACTTTCGGATGAAGATTGATAAAATAACTTAAAAATTGCATTTTTTTTTAATTACGAGCATTTCCGATAAATAATTTATAAACAATCAATTTTTGCACCATAAAAATCATTTGTTGGGATTTGTAAAAAAGTTATTCATCTTCAGAATTTTACCAAAAATTCATTTCATACCTAAAAAAATTAGGTTTTCGAAAGTTTAAACATTTTCAATTATTTATTTATAAACAAAAAATGTTTAAAAAATATAATTCTGTGCAAAATGTTACCTGAATGACGCTGAATATTCATGATTTTTTTTTTCAAATTTTTTTCACGCAATCTAATTGACTAATTAATGATTGAAAATGGTTCTGAAAGATACTTGGATACCAACTCAAGGATTTATATTTGAATAGAAAAAGAAATGTAATTTTCTTGCTGTTTATATAATCGGAAATTTCCCTGACTGAAAATACCACCAGTTATAACTCTCTATCATTCATTTTGTTCTCTTCCTGAAAAATTTATAATCCATAAATCATGGATTTTTCATTTTTATCGATTCCATGAATATTCAGTGGCGATACCTGATACGATGATCCGAAATTTGACCAGAGGAGGTAGAGCATGTATATCGAATGGAAAAAGAAAATAAAATGAGGGTGGTGTAACAAAACGAAACACTCTGGACAAAAAATAAAATTGGCACTGAACATATGAAGTTACAATTCAACTTCAGGAGCATTAATATACACCCGTTCTGGATTCCATTACAGTATTTCAGCCGTTCAATTATGTATGCTCATTAATGTAATAAATCTGTTGCCCATTCTTTGGCCGCAATTCACTGGTATTTTTACTATTACATAGTTTAGGGTCCCCAATCGGCTTTAAGCTATAAGGGTATTGCGCTACGGTGAATAGTTTAGTATGCACCGTAGACACTTCTAGAAAATTCTGGAAAATTCTGGAATATTCTCGAGGCGTCGAGAATATTTTTGAGATTTCTACAAAGTTTCATAATATTCTCGGGTTTTCTAAACGATTCGAAGAAATACTCCGAATTTCCGAATTCGAGAAAATTTTCAGTTTTATACAAAATTCGAAAAAATTCGTTGATTCCACAGGATATTCGAAAAAACTCTTGGATTTTTTTAGAAAACCTGAGAATTCGCTCGATTTTTTTTAGAATTAGAGAAAATTTTTGGATTTTCTAGAAAATTTGAGGGAATTCTCCAATTTTCCATGAAATTCTCGGGTTTTCTAAAAAAAATTTTTTCATTTCGATCAAGCAATTTAATTTCAAATTATGATTGACTATGTGGCCCGCCTTCGCCCGGGTAGAATAAGAGAAAATTGAACACCAAGATTTTTGAGGATTCCTGCAATTAAAAAAAAATCCCTCAATGTTTTCGACTTTCCTATAACACCCAAGAAGTCAAGAAATTTTTAGGGTTTTGCAAAGAAATTGAGATTGATGGTTCGGGAAAAGTCCAAAACATTAAGTTGTTTTTTTTAATTGCAGGAAGTCTCGAAAATCTTGGTGTTTAATTTTCTCTTATTCTACACCACACAACTAGTTTCTCTCTGTATTATAAAAATCCAGATCGACTTCTGGTGATGAGAATTTGACGCCCGAAATTAAGACTAAAAATAAGGTTCAGAAATGAAGGGTCACAAGGGTTAGAATAAGGATCATGGACGTCATATGGGGGTTGGCGACTGGAGCGAGCCGGGGGCGTAATCTCATAATGTTTTTCAAGTTTATTATATCCGATTTCCTTCAGCTGCCTGCACAGTATGGGTGAGAAAAATCACATGGAAATATTGTTTTTTTATTTCTACTCTGTCATGTTCATGTTCAATTAGTTATTCAATCAAATCACTGGAGCAGAGTCAATTTTCGGTAAAGAAAAAAAATATTTTTCTCTCTTTTTTTTCTTTCATTTCACGTAAATGTTGTGGACGCCAGGAATGGTGAAGGATGAGGATCCTGTAAAAATAGGTGACAGCACATCTGAACTGTTGAAAAACTTTGCCAAACGCCGACAGTCGGTAAATAAAATGAAAATCTAATGTTTTTGGCTTCTCAACTGTCTATTCTCGTATTTTTCAATGCTCGAGTGCATATTAATTAATTAGTCAATTTACTCACGTTCAGAAGTCGTCGCCATCGGCATGAAGTCATGGTCAGCCTTCACTTGCTCGAATCTCTCCACCAAGAGCTGCATTCTAACAATAAACGAGAAAAAAAATATTAACTGAAACGATTGCAAATCATTGTCTTCAGACAACTGTAGATTCTGTAGTACAGATTATTCTGATGTTCCTTCTATTAAAAATTAATTTGATTAAGGATAGCCAAGTATCTTTTACAGCTTGGTACAGACCACACTATAGATGTAACCAGTTTCAATTATCAAATTTGTCAATTAAATTGCCGGCGAAAGTAAAAAAAAATCATGAATATTCTGGGTCATTCAAATTACACTTTGTACAGATTTATTATTTTTTAAAACTTTCGTTGTTTATAAATAAATCATTGAAATTGTTTAAACTTTCGGAAACCTTATTTTTTTTGCATTAAAGCGATTTCTGGCAAGATTGTGAATATGAATAAATTTGTTACGACTCCGAATAAATGATTTGATAGAGGAAAATTGATTGTTTAAAAATTATTTATAGTAAATGTTCATTTTCAAAAATTGCAATTTTTTTCTCCAAAAGTAAACATTGTAATTTTTTTCAGATTTTTAAAATGTTTTCAAACGGTTCAATATCGAGACTCAAATCCAGACCTGCAAAGTATAAATAATAAAATCATTGTAAAATGTCCGGAAACTTAGGGTCAAATGGGGCTCAAGTGAAGGCTCTGATGTTCGACTACAAAAGTAGAAAAGCATTTCACTGGAGAAAAATAGTCAAAAAAAATATTTGGAAATCCTTAATTAGTTGGGATTGAAAGATGATAATAAACTAAAAAAAAACAACAACTTTGAAACAAAAACAATTTTTTTTTAAGAAAAAAAAAAGTTGTTTTTAGTTTCCTGTTGTACGAAAAACTGATGATTCAACAATGCTGTGAAATCTACTTACTTTGATTGTGGTAAGTTGTGTTTTCGTTGCAAATCATTCCGAAATTTTTCACCAACGTGTCTGTAAATATTAACAACTGTAGTGACGGCAGTTTCTCGTACTTTTTCGTTTGGATCTGAGAGTAATTTGACGATGCTGGGAATCACTGCAGATAGAGCCATATCATCTGCGCCATGCCTTGAAACAAAAAATTTAAAGAGTTGGAATTGAATTGATAAAGGCCCCCTTTTTGAGAGGATTTGATTTAATTTGAATTTGAAAAAGAAATGATAATAAATTGGCACATACTCATCAAGTGTAGTACTAAGTAAAATGAGTGACTCCTCCCTCAGTTTAGCATTTTTATGGCTAAATGCAGTGTGGAGTTTGTCCAGAAGCTGTTGTGGTGTCATGCTTCCCTTCTCCATCAGTTTCAAAAGCACCAATCGGGCCTTTTCGCGAGTAGTATCTTTACTGTCACCTGCAATATTAATTTCCATTGGTCGACTTGATCACTTGACTATTCAAATTGTCAATAAATTATTAGGATACATACCTAATCTATCAATCGTCGGCTGGATGATTGTCGTGAGATAAGGCCGAAAATCATGGCCCATTCTGTCTGCTATCTGCGTCAATATTTCGAGACCATTTTGGACGATCTAGATTAATAAAAAATTAACTGTTTAGTTGAAACTCAATTTTCTTGATGATAAAGAATATACATTGAATCACTCCAGTCCTCAAGAAGGAACAATTCTAGAGAATGAAAAACCAGCCGGCTAAGAGCACAAATAAATAAATAAATAAACAAGTCAAGAATCAACAATAATAAAATGACAATGTTTGACTTTTTAGAACGAAAGATTTTTGGATGAAATGCTCTCAGACATCGCAAGAATCGTAAATTATAAATAAAGAAAAAGTTGTTGTTTTGAAGAAGTCAACAGTTAATGCGACTCGTCAATTTTAAATGAATAAATTAATCATCAATTAAATATTCAAATTTCGAATTATTTTATCAACCAATAATTGAGTTCAGACGATTGACGATTATTTGGCTGATTGACAATCCCTTTTAGGAAATTTAGAAATATTTGCCGAACAATCAATTTACTTTCAGTCAATTGAAAATTAAAATTATCAATTATTTTATAATCTTCAAATTTCAATCCAGATATTACGAAAACTAATAATTGATGGCCATCCCTTATTGCTCCATACCAGGATGTATTGAATCGCTCGATACCTAATTTTATACACAAGTGTGACTCCATAATATTAATTAGTAGCCAGAATCTGATGTTTATTCCACGTTTTACGCGTATTATGGAGTGCCACATGAACTCTCAATTGAAAAAATTAGAAAAACACGAATATCTCGAAAACTTTGTATGAACGGGTATTCATATTTTGATTGATCTTGATAGGGGGCGGCAACACGAGTATTTTGAAAGAAAAATAAAACTTATCGGACCAGTAATTTGGGAGATATTGAACAAAGCAATTTTTCACAAAAAGTTGAATATCTTCTAAACCACTTGTCCGATTTCGCCTACCCCTAATCCTATCCTGCAATATCGTGAGAGCTAGAATTTCACCAAATTACAACATCCTATCTAATTTTTTTCGGGAGTTATCGTGCGCAGAACGATTTTTTCATAAAAATGAAAAATGCCGATTATTACCAAACAGTCCTTAGTTGCATAGCAACATTGTGATTTGATTTGATAGATGTTATCAAAAGGAATATTTTGACGTCAAAAAAATTGAATTCAATCACGTAGTTTTCCAGATACTGAGGAAAAAAGATTTTTCAGAAATTGCTCTATTTCGGAAATTACTTGTCTGATTGAACTGAAAGACCGTCCACAAGTGCTCCAAAGTAATACAAATTATGTGACGAAATTCCAGATATTTAGCTTCAACTTTAGTCCTTTTTCTGTGAAGATTTATAAAAATTTTCCGATCAATCCACATTTTCTAAAAACATCATATCTTTACGTTTCATGACACTCTACATCATTTCCCGACAAAATTATGAGATCGTCAAAATGAACGCTTCCACAGCTTCCATTCGGAAGCAAAAACTAAAGCTGGGGGATGTAAGTGCATGCCAAAAGGTTTACTGCCGCCACTTCACCACAAAAATAGTCCCAAAAAGACTACTGAGGGAAATGACACGACTCCAGAGTTTCTAAATAGCATCTAGATAAAACTGCCTCGTCTCATTATTACCATGAAAGATACCTTGAAAAAGAGAAGACGACACTTTCAAATACAAAAAAAAATCGAATTTTGACGTCATACTCAGCGCCCAAATAAGGAAATGCTCAAGTAATACCAATAATTCTAATAATAATAAAATAAGAATCATACCAAAATAGAAAGACAACGAAATTCAAGAAAATGAGCAAGGACAGGACAACGATGGAGAATAGCTGGACCTTGGCATGAATCGAGTGCAGTCGTTCCATCCCACTCCACAAAAAAAGCATGCGTGCCCCCCCCCATGCATGTATGCTTGTAAGGGGGTACCCTTACATATCAATAACAAATTTGTTGAACTTATTTACAGAACAGAAAAGTCATGTGAAAAATTGAATGGAAAAATTCAATTCCAACAAAAAACTGAACAATTCTAACGAAATAAAAAAAAAATGAAAAAAGGATGCGAGCTAAATATAGGAGTGAACGAGTTAACTGAGTTGGACGACACACGTTCTTCCTTTCTTTGCATTCTAAGTGACGTAGGCGGGTGATCAGGCGATCATACATGATTGGAAATCAGTCCAGATGATTCTTATGTTATTTTATTCAACAGACAGTGAAATATTGGAATCAGTGACTCTTTAATCACAAATATTATTTTCACCAATATTAGCACCGCAAATACATATCTTTTGTTTAATTACTAATAATGTGTAAATATTTTTCATTACATTATGAATGAGTATTGACAGACTCACATTTTTTAAATACCGTACCAATGAGTAATAATTAATATTAAAAAACTATTATTTATCTCATCAGGAATTACACTTGAATATTTCAGTGGTGAAGTGGTTAAAAGGGTTAAAGTCAATTTAGTCTTTAGTTGAGTTTTCCAGGAATATTTTTTCCGAATTTAAGGGAGATAGCGAAATTTTCATAATAACCATTTTTGTAGAGCGAATTGAGTGCTACCAGAAAGGTTATGAGAAAAATTTTGCTATCGTCCGTATATTTCGAGATATTCATTGAAAACTGACCAATAGACAAAATCAACCGTTTGACCACTTCGCTACTGATTTTAGAAGTCGTTCAATCAATAATCAAATCAAAAATATTTTCCAATACTTATGTAATCAATAATGAGATCGAAAATATTTTTCAATACTCAACTAATCAATAATGAAAAATAAAATATTTAATTATTCTGTTAGTGGGTAATGTTGACCGTCAAAATATTCATTACTGGGACAATGGACAATGATGTCATGAATCACAAAAATGTCATTGTCGATGACGAAAATCAGAAATAAAAACTTTCTATTACTCAATTAAGGCCCGAGTGTACTATATTTCGAACGTTATCTGGGTGTTTTTTTTACCTTTCGTCATCTGAAATTTGTTCCCATGCTGTCACTTCCCATGAGGTATCAGTGTTTTGTTATCCACTACCGAAAATGACAGCTAATAGATAATTTGTCACAGCGAATCTGATATTTGTAATTCCCACTTTTTTCAACTCATTCCGAATTTCAATTAAAAACGCTTTTTGAAAAAGTTCAGAATTTTTTCTGTTTTTTTATCATTCTATCACAATTTTTGGGAATTTCTACATGATGTACCACTCAATTGACAATTTTGGATTACGAAAGATTTAAAAAATCCAGATAACATTCAAAAGATAGTACACCCGGACCTTAATTGAATATTTTTAGGGGAGAGCTAAAATAAGATAGCGCGTTGAAATGGGCAATAATTTTTTGCTGAGTTGATACAGTGTTTCACATCTTGTGACGTCAAAGGATATTACTACTATGATAATTAAATGATAATGAAAAACGAATTTGTTTCCATTATTCGTGACGAATGTAATTGGATTTGTCAATTTTCTATTATTCATTTATAGAATAATGAGAAATTAATTTGGTTTCATTATTCATGACGAAAAAAAATCATAATTCAATTTTTTTATTAACCATTGATATTGTAATGAAATATTAATAATGGAAATAATTTTCCTGCCGATCTCTAAATCAAAGTAGACATTATGATTTTGAAAATGAAGAGGATCTTTTCATTCTCTGAATATGGTAAGAATAAATACTTTGAACACTAAAAATATAAATGAACACTTGCAATAAATACTTTGAAAACTGTGAATACTTTGAACCCCAGACAAAAGTCCTAGTGTTTCTGTCATCAAAAAAGGTGTGAAAGTCTCGATCTTCCATATAAAGGAAACTGGAAAATCATGTTTACTTCAAAAGGAAAACGATTGCATCATACAAAATCGAGTAACATGATAAATCTCTGAGAATTTCTTCTTTCTTAAGAAAAGAGACTTTTCCAAAGCAGCCAAGGATTCAACGACCCCTGATTCTCCAATTAAATGCCGAAATAAATGAACAATTTCTCTGAAATTCACTTCGAAGTCTCAACGAAATAGTTTCCAATGAATCCTCCAGTTATTTACGATTCAATTCCAATTATTGTTGAATTATCTCCGTAATGTGAGATGTAAAGAAATAAAATGAAGACATTGTGTTTCAAGACAATTCAATTAACCACAATAAAATTATATAAAATACCTTGGCATTGCCATTGTGCAGCCACGAGATGACATTATCAATGAACAATCCGATGTCCTGGCACTCGATGCTATTATTAGGATCGCTGAGGTAATTCAACAGATTATTACCCACTGTCATTTTCGTCTTTATGTCCGAAGTGGACAACAGCGGCATAAAACCATCCATGTCACGTGGGTTCAAAGCCATGCTGAAAACGAATCACCACCGAATTGCAATTATCAACTCCTGAAACAATAACAAAATTCAGCGGATAAAAACAACGGGAAAATGAGAATTTTCCAAGACAAATAAAATTCACTATTTTCAATGGTTTTCATGTTCACCCGTTTCCCCCCTTGGCCCTTCCATTCACCAATTCCGACCATTATTATTCCCAACATAGAACCCCACATTTTCCATAATTCACTGTTTTCAATGTCAAAAATTAATTTCTCCCCTCAAACCAAGAAAATTTGTTAAGAGGAGACTACTATGAGTTTTAAAAGTCGCGGGTTCTTGGGATGAAATTATTCATACATTGAAGATCGATTATATATGTCTAAAAATTGATAATTAGTGCAAAAAATTAATTTTTTATTGTTCGTTTGCCCCGCAGACGCTTAAAATTTTTGAAAATAGTCCACGGTCTCCAATTTGTGAGCTACAGAGGTTTTTTTTCTGAGTCCTACACAGCTAATTTCGTTTATTTTAATAAAAAATTGCACCATCCATGTAAAATAGTCTAACAAATGTTTCTGAAAGAATCGCAAATATATTTTAAACATTTTAAGCGTTTCGGAGCCAACAAACAATAAATAATTATTTTTTTGCACTAATTATTCGTTTTTAGACATATATAATTCATCTTGAATGCATGAAAATACATACTCCAATCGTCCGAGACTTTTAAAACTCACAGTAATCTCCAGATCCATGCGACACTGAAAAATGTTGAAAATTGGGAAAATTCAGGCAAAAACTTTACCGCATTCTCAATCTATTGAAATTTCAACTGCATCTGAAGTTTAATTTTTATAATGAGTTTGGAAATTCAAGCTTTCATTGAAATATCAATGAAACTAGCGAAATATTCGACACCAGAAGATTTGGCGAATGTAGGGGTGTACAAATGTTTTTAAGTAATGCACAAACTCTTTCGCACTTAAAAAACATTTGTACATATGATTATTTGACTCTCCTACACTTAAATATCCCCTAAATTGAATTTTCCGCTGATGAATATTCTGCTAATTTCAACTTTATCAATTTTCTTGAATTTTCAAGATGAATAAGATATTTCATGAATATTTTCAATTGAAATTGAATTCAAACTCACAACACTGAGAATTCAGATGAAGCTGTGACTGAAATTTCAAGAAATTTCTAACAGTGAAGTTCTGAAATAAGTCGTGTTTGGGCCAACAAAATCGCTCGTTGAAAATTGCCAAAAAACAAACTGATTTGAATTTGAAAGTCTCAAACATAAATAATTGCTCTGCTTTCGATAGCAACGAAATATTTGGCTCGAGGGAAATTCGAGTTTCGTGGTAGGATCTAAAATAAAAGAATTACCTAAATGAGAATATAATGGCTTTCGTATCTTCAAGAATGTTTTGATTAGCAGAAAAAAAATATTTTAAATGAAAATACCAAAACAAAGAATAATTAAATTAAGAAATTGTTGAATGCCGCCGAAACCCCTAATTTCCGGACGACTGGGCCATATTTTTTTCATTTATTAAATGGCCATCAATAGAAAAAATAATTGATCACATCATTATACACGATTATTATTGAAAGGTGAAACAATCAGTATAATTTTCATTTTATTATTCATGGAATATTCAATGCAAGTTGAAATCGTCCAGAAACTAACCTCCGTCCAGAAATTGACCTGTTCACCCTAGTGCTACAGAAGATATTTTTTGTTTGCACAGAGAATGCAATTTTTTTTGGAACTACTAAATCTATTTTAGCAACAAAAATTTTTCATCGCTGCGCACTCTGCATGTTTTGCATAAAAAATCCTTTTTTGATAATTTCTAAAAAATCATTTTTTTGGCACAAGTAAGACTTCTTTGAGAACTCTGTCGGTTTTCTCTCAGTGTAGTCCTCTGCTCTGCCCAACAGGCACCCGCCTTTCAACCCTCTTAACCCCCTCAGCTTAATGCACGAATCAATGCCAAGAAAATAATCCCCTAATAAACAACTAAAGCAAAAATAAATAAATGAAACAAACCTCAAAAAAGTTCACTCTTCTCAATGACAAAAGAAACGGAGAAATTCGCTATTTTACAGTCCTCCCCCAGAGCCGGTCATTGGCCCATCCCAAGTGCAAACATGATCCTCACGTAGTAGTCTACAATCAACTACGGGTATGTAACTTGAGTTGCAGAATCACTGAATCATTCACGAAAATAAATTGATAGAAGAAAAAAACAAAAAAGCGGTCAACAAATGGCCGAATTAACTACGACAATGGTAATTTTTCAATGAACTTGGGTGATTAATTTTAGAATAATTGTGACAGAGGTTGCGGAGGCACCAGGAAGTTTATAAACACTGATGAGCACAGGGGAGGGCCGAGCAATACCTGCCGAAGCACGAAAATTAGCATAAAAATTTGGTTGTTTTTTTTTTAATGTATATTTTTTAAATGACACTTGAGATTTTTCAAAGAGACTGTCGATGGATTTTTCGGGATTTATGGTGGGGTTTTCAACTCAGAATTCGACTGAGGGCTTCAGAGTTTTTCGAGAAGCGACGATCCTCGAGAGAACGAGATATTTAACAGCGTCTTCACTGACTTTCGAGCGTTTTTTATCCTTTCACTCCACTTGATTAGATTTAGCAAAATTCAGTAATTGTTTTTCGAGGTATTAGAGATTTTTTGTTGTTTCTTTCGGGGATTGGAAAACTTTCAACTCCTCAACGAATCGAGACCATCGAGACACTCGCCGCAAGCACCGCCATTTTGGTTGGTCGGAAACTCAACTGATTTTTTTTTACGTACATTGTCGTTATTGGGTGGGCGCAGTAGTTACAGGTTTTCATGATTGGCGGCGCGCGGAGTTTTTTAAAATTTGAAACTCAATGGTGAATGTTATTAATTTTGTTATTCGCCAACCCCAGGGAAATAATGATCAATCATCTCTGTCCTGATGAATATTTTTTATTTTTCTGCATTATTTACAGGTAATTTTACAGCCACATTTACAATATTTTACAATTGATTTTATTTATTAATTATAATGTAAAACTAGTGTAATCAAGGATAAGTTCATCAGAAATTCCTCATTTCATGCTCAATACTTGATAAAATTTGACTCATTCGTAATACTATTTGGGACTTTGAGGACCGAGGCACAATTGACAAAATATATATATATATATATATCTATTTATAAGAAATAAAAAACAGTGGCCGTTTTGGTTGCATGATCAGTAATAATTACCATCTCCTATCCTAATATTTGTTCCTCTTTCCTTCCTGAGTAGATCCACACCAAATCATGCTAGGAATTTTGGTCTCAATTTTTTCTGAAACCATTAGACCAAAATTTTGAAAACAGAATAATTGAAAAATTGAAATAATCGAGGGAGATTTTTTGAAAACTGCTAGTTTTTGTCCACAATTTTTTTATTTTTAAATTGGCCCCAATTTCTCTGCGGGGTTTCAAGTTATGAAATCGCCCATTAGCACACGCAAGGAACATTAAAACCCTTTCAAAATGAGACGTCATACATAACATTATCTTCAGTTTAATGGGGTTTATACGAGGAAACGTTTTTGTTTATCGTTAATTACTTATGAAACTATTTTTTTTAATCTAAAATTTTCACCAAAAATTGTCAATACAATGTCAAGCATTTTGGCGCCGATTAGAGTTTGTTTATCGCCGCAGTTCGACGGTTATTAATTTTTTCATCAAGATTAGTAGTGTAAATGACCGACAATCGTTATTATTCATGCAATTATCACCAACATAAGTGAATATTCAATTGAATAGTAGCAATTGGTGGAGTTTAAACTCATTATATTTTCTATTATTCATTTTCAGTATGAGTTTATGAGCGAAAAATTATTATTTCACTAATTATACAATGGAAATGTATTGTTCAAAGAGCTTTCATTTGTTGGTCATCAAGAATTTAATTGAATTGACTCATTTTTAATTATTCAGTTAAATATTCACTCATTTGGGGATAGATGCATAAGTAATAGCGATTTTCGATCGTTTTCAACAGTTGTCCCACTGAAAAATAATGACCGCCGAACTATGGAGAAAGACAAACTCTAATTGGCGCCAAAATTCCTTTCATTTTATTGAAAATTTTTGGTGAAAATTTCAGATTTTTAAAAAAATCGCTTTTTTAGTAATTTACGATTGAAAAAAAAAACGATTTCTCATAGAAACCCCGTCAAACTGAAGATAATGTTATGCATGGCGTCTCATTTTGAAGGCTTTTTCATGTTCTTCGATCGAGGCCAATTTGGAACAAAAAAATTTTTGGTCAAAAGTAAGACATTTTCAAAAAATCATAACTCCCTCAATTATCAATATTTTTCAATTTTTCTCTTCTCAAAATTTTTATCTAATCGCCGCCTTTTCAGAAAAAAATTGAGACAAAAATCCCCAGCATAGACTTTTTTGGCCTGCAGATTTGGCGTGGATCTGCTCTCCTGTATTTTTTGAATGTGCCTCGGCCCTAATAATTCAAATTGATTGGTTAAACTTGACAATTATCCATCAAAACATAATAAATAAACGTTAAACAAATAAAACATTATGAAAAATAATTTGAAACAAACAAATAAATTATATTTTTCAAAACAATTCCATTATTGACTAAATATTACCCACGCAATTGTACGAATGATAATAATGACGAGTGTATAACTATTTTGATTATTGATGATCAACTTCGCATTCTTCAATATAATTAATAATAAATGACTCTACTTAATCAATTAATTTATCACGCAATGGTAATGAAAAGAAAAGGATCATTATCTTTAGTGATTATTCAATAAATGCGTTCCTTTGCTAATTTCTACATTCTCTTCGTAAATTTAGATTTAGTTTTAATATTGAATAATTGTTGGCTAATTAATAAATTGCGTAATTTCGTTAAAGTATTGGAAAAAAATGATAATCACTCGTTCTTCAAGCTTTTTCCAACATATTCTTCAATGCTGTTGCTGTAATTCTTGGAGCAGTGGGCACACTTCTACTAAAGGCGTACCGAGCACTTCCTGGCATACTTGGTTAATGTCAGGTTCCATCATCAGCGATGATATCTGATCCTCAGACAGCATTTCAACACTGTAAAAATATTTTTTGTTTGTTCTTTTGTTTCCTGGAAATTAATTTGCATCTAATCTTAAATATAATAAATCTGTTGCTCATTCTTTGGCCATGATTCACGTGGAAACGACTGAATGGATTTCAATGGTAATTTTTACTATTACATAGTTCATCAAGGAAATCAAGTATTTATTATTATTATTTATTTTATAAACAATGAAGTGTCCATCATAAAAATCATTTGCGTGGAATCGTAACAAATTTATTCATATTCAGCATTTTACCAGAAATCGATTTCATGCCAGCAAAAATAAGGTTTCCGAAAGTTTAAACAATTTCAATCGTTTATTTATAAACAACCAATGTTTAAGAAAATAATATTTCTGTGCAACACGTAATTCGAATGGCGCTGAATATTCAGGATTTTTTTCAAAATTTTCTGACGCAATTTAATTGACAAATTTGATGATTGAAAATGAATGGATCTGTACCAGGAATGGCCGTCAATCATTGCATTCTTCAATATAAAGAGAATTTATACCTGGCAAGGATTAAGGTTTACGTATAATGGTCGAAATTAAAAAATAGTAAAATAATTGATAATGTGGAATTGCCAATTGTCTATTACGTAAAAGTCAGTTTCGATTAACCAAATAATCGTCAATCTTCCTAACTAAATTATTGACTGACAAAACAATTCGGAATATGAATATTTTAATTGATGATTCATTTAAGACCCGAGTGGATTATCTTTCGAATGTTATCTCGATTGTTTTTTCATCTTCATAATTTGAAATATATCACAATTTCCGTTGGATTTTACATCACGCAGGAATCCCTAAAAATTATGATTGTACAATAAAAAAATGTAGAAAAAAATGAACATTTTCAAAGAGCGTTTTTGATAAAGATTAAGAAATAAGTCCGATAGAGAGGAAATAGTGAATGGATAATTTATCATGGTAGCTAATGAGCGTAGGATCAATGCCATTTTCATTACCTATTCTCTTAATTGGCGATATTTCAGTGAAATATCCGGATATTACTATAATTTACGCATTTTTATTAAATTTTTAACTATTCGAAACCTTAGTCAAGGGATTTTCAATCCCATTTTACTATTGTAACGGAGATATCAACGTTTTGAAATTGTGGGCTTCTTAACTTGTGACTTAAGAATTGACTCTGTCGTAGCACGAGTTGATGTGAATGGGATTTTTCTCTCTTATAATTCAATGAATCACTCTTCATTTGTGGCTATAACTGTTCTTGTTAAGGCCCGGGTGGATTATCTTTCGAACGTTATCTCGATTGTTTTTTCATCTTCATAATCTAAAATGTATCACAATTTGCGTTGGATTTTACATCACGCAGGAGTCCCTAAAAATTATGATTGTACAATAAAAAAATGTAGAAAAAAATGAACATTTTCAAAGAGCGTTTTTAACTAAGATTAAGAAAAAAGCCCGATAGAGAGGAAATAGTGAATGGATAATTTCTCATGGTAACTAACGATGTGACAGCCATTGACGACTATGACAAATGACGACCTAACAGCCATTAGATACATCAAATTATTAATTTGCAATTTCCTCCCTATTGAGTTTATTTCCCAAAATCATTCAAAAACGCTCTTTGAAAATGTTCATTTTTTTCAACATTTTTTTGATTGTATCATAATTTTTGGGGAGATCAGGACTATGTAAAATTGAATAGCGATTGGAGATCATTTCAGATTATCAAACTAAAAAAAAAACAATCAAGATCACGTTCGAAAGATAATCCATCCCGCCCTTAATAATAAGAAATTGTAGAGTAATATTAAAAATTCACTATTTCAAAATTCAACGGTAATTCTAATCTATGATTACGGCCATATCTGTTCTGCAGAACCTGTAAAAGACACTTGGATATCTTTAAGAGAAGTGTATTCATTACCTGGCTAAACTTTCGCTGTCGGACGTCTCCTCATCAGCATTAAGATAGCTCATAGTTTTTTCCAACGGAGAGGGTACTTTCTTCCCCTTCAATTCCACTTTATCATCTTTATGAACTCTCTCGTCCTTCTCCACTAGCCTAGGCTCACTAGAACGTCGCTCAGTCAGACTAGATATGTTAAGTATCATCATTCCATGATTCAACAACTCCTTGACTCTCTCCCCAGGACCAACACTCCACAGAACATCTAAAGATTGTCTTCTACTTGAATTCGACGAACTACTACAATTCGGTTGTCCACTATTAGCAGCTGAACTCCGAGATATCCAGTTAGCCAAACTGCTGTCTAATTTTCCACGATTTCTACCGGAGGGATTCTTTTCCAGCAAGTCACCCCCGCTATTTGTTCCTTCTTTACCATCGCCATCGCCCTCCCAATCGTTAGGCAACGACTGTTGATTCACAAGTCTCTTGTTTCGTTCACCAATAGGCTGTTGACGATGCCCAGAGATAATGGAAGCAGTCCCAGAGTCTGGACTTAATTCACTTGGCAACGGTTTATATGGGATCTGGTGATCTTCCTCATCCGAGTAAACATCATTATTGTAGTAAATTTCGTCTGGTGAGTTATTTAAGCTAATCTCCGTCCACTCCTCGCCATTCTGCCCCCTGTGACATTCCTCCTCCTTTTCCTCATCAATTTTCTTCTCTGAACTAAACTCTACCTTTTTTTGACTATTTTTCTGCGTCGAGGGAGTGGAAGAGGAAGAAGTACAGGTGCTCACGTTTCTTGGACGATTTTCTCGCTTTATGTATTTTCGGGGCTCTGTAGAGGACATGTTGATAGTTGTAAGGCCTAGATACTCCGTTGACGGCTCGCGTTCGATCTTTGTTGGAATTGGACAGCTATTGTTGGGACTCATTTTATCGGGGAGTTGTAGATACTCGTCACTAGTGTAGTCAGTACTGTCTGGTGAGCCAGTGACACTGGAGTCTGATGAGGACGTTGTTGGATTATCCTTTTCAGTATTTGGTTTTTCACTACTTCCATCATATTGTCTTGTCTACGAATAGTAAATGATTGAAAAAATTGATATGTGATGAGCATTCATTGAGGGATAACAGAAGGCCAACATTTCCTCGAAATTTTCAAACAAATTTCCCGATCAAAGTGATTAGTATTTTTTTAACTCAAAGCACATTGACCTTCATCATCACCTCCTGGAGAGTAATGTGATTCGATTTGTAAAAATATCGATAACTTTGGGCAGGAAATTTATTCTATATGCTAGTATAATTATACTGTAGTATCATTACTATAGTATAATTTATACTTTATACTATATGCAAGCCAAGAGCAATTTTCCACTTGTTTCTTTTTGTTCAAAATTTTGGAAAAAATGTACTCAATAACAACTACGAATTAGTTTTTTGAAATTCGACTCCTACACAGCTAATTTCGTTTTGTTTAATATAAAAACTTGCGTCATTCATTTAAAATAGGCAGAATAATTATCCTCAAAATATTTAAAATATATTCTCAACTCTTTCAGAAACAGTTTTCGGGCCATTTTACATGAATGGTGCAATTTTTCATTAGAAAAAATCAAATTAACTGTGTAGGAGTTCAATTTCAACAAACTAATTCGTAATTGTCATTTCATATATTTTTTCAAAAATAAAAAAAAACCTCTGCAGCTCAAAAATTGGAGGCTCAGGACCGTTTTTTACATTTTAAGCGTCAGCGGGGCAAACGAACAATAAACCATTTTTTTGCACTAATTATTCGTTTTTCGACATATATAATCGATCTTCAATGTATGAGAAATTTCATTCCAATACCCCGCGACTTTTAAAACTCATAGTAGTCTCCCCTTAAATTTCACGACGAATGGATAATTACAACTTACACGATGAATTTCATCACTTATTTTCTCTAAATTTCTCAGTGCTTCGGCATACGTCATCTTGGCTTCAGTCACCGAACGTTCAAGCTCGCTAACTCGAGTCTTCTGCTTCTCCAGCACTTGGTTAAACTGAGCTTTCATCTCGTAAAAAGGCCTGTTCTCAAGAAAAAAATTAAAAATAAAAATAAAGTACAAAATTTTGAATACCTCATCGCAATCGACCACTTATTTATTTTATTGTTATTATCATTTTGCAATAATCATAATTATAAAATCCATGTAAAATAGTAGTAGAAACAATGAGAAAGAAAATTCTTGCTGAAAAAGAGGTGTGAAATTGAGAGAATTTCTATCACTACTTACAATAATAACAGGGTGTGCCTGTAGGCGATACTGTTTATCAGAAGCAAGCTGCGACGTGCATCCATACTGCCAATGAATATATTATAAATAATAAAAAATACATAAATTTTCTCACAGTGATTTTTTTTCACCGAGGATGCAAAAAATATTATTTTCCTCTACATAACTCAACATTTCAAATTTAAAAAAGTAAAAAAAAACAAAAACATGTCAAAATATATTTTGAAATATCCATGACATTTCTTGGTGATTATTGGAAGCATTCCATGCAAAAGTGCAGAGATAAAATGTTGAACATCAACATTCTGTTCAGTTGCTATTGCTACTGGGAATAAAAAAATATTAAGTTCGCGGAAAGAAAAAAAAATTAAACTACTGCGGTAGATTAATTAAATACACCCAGAAAAATTATTTATTTGAATCAAGAAAGTTTATTTCAATCAAATAAATAAGTTTATTCAAATAGTGACAAATAAAGTTTTTTTTTCAAATTAAATAAAAAATTTTATTCCAAGTTTTGTGTATATTAAATAAATGGTTTTTCGTAGTGAATAAATCTTCATTTGATACAAATAAATTCCTTATTTATTCGATTAAAACATCATTATTTTAAATAGATGAATTGTTTAATATAATTAAATTCATTTTCTTGAAACAAGTAAACAAGTTTATGCATTCGTAACAAAAATATTCTTGAAATAAGGAAAAAAATTTAAATAAAGATTTTCATTTGATTCAAAGGAACCATTTTTCTGGGTGTACTCAACGCTAGGGATGCAAAATGGCGGTAATTATTGACATGTGTCAAGTCAGTCGTAAATTTACCGTCTTCTGACCATTTTTTACTTGACGCATACCTCGTGATGCAAATTGACCGGTCAACTTATCCAATCGTCAGTAATTTTTTCTCGTAGTGATTTATGCTGAGAAATCGTCTATCTAGATGTAACCTGGCCGTCATTTTTGTGCTCGGTCATTTTTCGTTTCTCTTTTTTCATGAATTTTTTCAGAAATTTGAATAAAGCTATGAATAATGCCAAAACGGAAATCGAAAATTTAGTGAATATTACTTTAGTATGGAACTAATCAGAAAAGTTTCGTAGAATTTTTCTATTTATTATTATCATTGAATCTATAAAGTTCAGTTCTAGTAAAACAATCGTATAAAATTTTTCATTCCATAACTGATTTGTAAATCTTTTCTTTTAACAACTAATTAAAGAACTCTCAAACATATGGTGCCCAAAGTGGCCTATCTCTAACTGAAATTTGGAGTTTCCTTTGGAGTTCTGGAGTCCAAGGCTCAGTCTGGGGGCCGACTTTCAAAGTAATACGGTAACATGATGAATGTCGCGAATGTGAAACTAATTAGAGGGCGAAAAATCGCCTGGTTCCATCCAGATGTAAAGTGACCGTCAAGATGTTTTTCTGGCATTTTCGTGACACGGAATTCCGTCATTTTTTTCTGACCACAGAGGGTCAGTAATTGATCTTCGGTCAGTGATATGTAATTTATGTGTAAAAAGACGGTAAATTGACCGGTCAGCTTTGTCCGTTAGATCCCTACTCAACACATTCAACTGAATAATTATTTCTTGTTCATTCATTATGCACAAGAGAAGAGATAAATTGAATGTCCAGTAAATAATGTGGCAAGATGTCAAAATCGCTCGTATAATCCTGAAATTCACCTGGATTTAGCTATCGAGCGTTTGAGCTCTGATTGCAATCGTTGAACGTTGTGCTCTGCATTATGGTATAATCCAGTCATATGTCTGTGTTCAGCCTCGGACAAAGCTCTCTCATGCTCAGACTCATTGACTCTCTCTGTAGCATGATTCAACATTTCCTAAAATAAGAGAGAAACAATTAAATGAGTTTTCTTCTTTTGTTGTTTTTCAGTATTATTATGAGACTTTAGTACCTGCCAGGCATGATCAAAGGACCTCCCCTCCATCCTGAGCCCTTCCTCAGCCAGATAAACCATTTCTTTAGCTGCTGCATGCTGACTATTTGCTCTCTCAAACCTCACTGCTGCTTTTTGAGCTTCTCTGAGTGCCTTTCAATCAATCAACAATCAAATATTGGTTATAAATAAGAGCAGATCCATGCCAAATCAGCAGGAAAGAAAAGTCGATGTTGGGGATTTTCGTCTCAATTTTTTTTCTGAAAAGATGGCGATTCGACAATTGAAAAATATCAATAATTGAGGGAGTTATGATTTTTTTTAAATTGCTAATTTTTGTCAAAAAAATTTTTTTTTTACTAAATGGTCCCATCATCTCTGCAGCATTTCAAGCTATCAAATCGCTCTTTCGCGCACTCAAAGAACATGAAAAACTCTTCAAAATGAGACGTCAGATATAACATTATCTTCAGCTTAACGGGGTTTATACGAGAAAATGTTTTTGTTTATCGTTAATTACTCAAAAAGCTAATTTTTTTGAAATTTGAAATTTTTACCAAAACTTGTCAGTAAAATATCAAAAATTTTAGCGCCAATTAGAGTTTGTCTTTTGCCGTAGTTCGGCGGTTATCAATTTTTTCATTGAGACAAGTATTGAAAACCACCGAAAATCGCTATTATTCATGCAATTATCGCCCAAATACGTGAATATTCAATTAAATATTAGCAAATGGTAGAGGTTAGACTCATTATATCTCCTAGTATTCATTCTCAGAATGATTTTTTGCGTGAAAAATTATTATTTTTCTAATTATACAATGGCAATACATTTTTCTAACACCTTTCATTTGTTGGTAATCGAGAATTTAATTGAACTGACCCATTTTTGATTATTCAATTGAATATTCACTCATTTGGGGGATAATTGCGTGAATAATAGCGATTTTCGGTCATTTTCAATACTTGTCCCACTGCAAAAAATAACCGCCGAACTATGGCGAAAGACAAACTCAAATTGGAGCCAAAATCGCTTTCATTTGAATTGACAATTTTTGATGAAAGTTTCAGAGTAAAAAAAATTAGCTTTTTCAGTAATTAGTGGTTGAAAATAAATCGTTTTCTCGTATATAAACCCTGTCCAACTGAAGATAATGCTATGTATGATGTTTCATTGCGAAGGGGTTTTCATGTTTCATGATAGCTTGAAACCCCGCAAGAATATTGAGGCAAATTTGGAAATTTTTTTTTTTTTTTGACAAAAACTAGCCATTTTCAAACAATCTTCAATCATCAATATTTTTCAATTTTTATTTTTTCAAAATTTTTGTCTAATCACCACCGTTTCAGTAACAAAATGGTCCAAAAATCACCAGCATTGACGTTTTTGGCCTGCTGATTTGTTGTGGATCTGCTCCTAAATAAATTACTAATTCAGAATCATTCAATAATGAATAAACTCACTTCTTTGGCTTTAAAACGGCTGTCATAATAAGGTTGAGATTTTTCAATACATGAGCCCAGTTTCTTTGCCATTGTGTTAATTGTTATTTGCGATTCACATAACAATTTTCGAAAAGTTGCTCTGGCATCCTAAATATCAACATAAAACATGTATTTTTAATTCTTAAACAAATTGACATTGAACTAGACATGGATTTATCATTCGACGGAGATACTCACGTCCAAATCGACTTCAAGTTTATTTATATCATCAGTTGCAGTATTCAGCCTTTCAAGTTCAATCTACAAATAAATAAAAAATTAGACAAGTGGGAAATTACTCTTGTATTGAATATAATACAGTTATTTTTGCTAATAAATTCGCAATATGCTTCCGAATAGTTGTTTTGCACGTAATTTCCTTTCTTCTGTCATTCATTGTTTATTTCATTTTATTGAATTGAATAAGATTACTTTTCATCTAATTTTGTCAGATTTTCAACTCAGTTGAATGTTATCATCATCATTATTCTTATAATCTCTTTCTTCTATACAACCAAATGTCTTTTTTACAGTTCTATCTCTCCCCTCACGCCTTTGATAAAATGTTAATACAAAAATATTATTTATACACTGTTAATAATCTTCGTCAGAATTTTCCGCGCCAAATTCCGGAAATTTTTATTACGTTCAAGTTCCACTGAAATCTCAGGAGATCTTATCATTGAAAAATCAAATATTCCATTGATTTTCTGGTAAAATTATCTGGAAATCAATAAAATAAATGAATTAAATTTTAATTAATGGCGATTGATAGGACTCAACAATACCTACATTTGAGGAAAAATAAGATTCAATTCCATCGATTCATTACCGAATAATCGAAGAAAGATTTGTTTACATACGTACACACACGTACGTACACAGTCTAAAAATTGCATCTTCGGACTTTTTGGATGTGTCGATACAGGGTGAACAGGGCAATTGCTGGACGGTTAAGGGAAATTCGAATTTCGTGGTAGGATCTAAAATAAAAGAATCCCCTAAACGGGAATATGATGGCTTCCATACCTTCAAGAATGTGTCAATTATCAGAAAAAATTTATTTCAAGTGAAAATAACAAAACAAAGAATAATTAAATTAAAAAATAGTTGAATGCAACCGAAACCCCGAAGTTCTGGATAACTGGGCCATTTTTTTTATTTATTAAATGTCGATCAATAGAAAAAATAATTGATCACACGATTATAAACGAATATAACATTATTGAAAAACGAAATAATCAGAATTTCCATTTTATTATTTATGGAATATTCAATGGTGGAAGTACAAATCGTCCAGAAATAGCCCCATCCCGAAATTAGCCTGTTTACCCTACCACGAAAAATCCAAAACTTGAATTTGAACGATTACAGTGCTTCCACTCGGAAGCAAAAAAATGAAGGCCGTCTCAAAATACCCTACAAATTGTTTTCTCAATGCAATTTCTCATCTTCTCAATACGCCACAAATACTATAAATGACTAGACCAAGTTCTCCTCTCGCGTGAAACACCAAAAAATACCAAAAAAGTCCAAAAAATGAATCTTAACCTGCACTCGTGGATCAACCGCATCATCAACGCGCTCTCCATCACTGGCATTATCACTGCACTCACGTCCACTCATTTTGCCCCCCCCCCCCAAATGCACTAAAATAATCAATTAACAGGATAAAATAAACCTAATTATTATATTAGGCAAGTGTCTTGATAGCCACCTGTCTATGTACAGTGGTGCGCCTGCCATTATCAGGTGGCCATGTTGAATTTTTTTTTTGGTAGACAAATGTGAGACGTCCGTGAGGTGCGCTGGCCCTACACATGCATAAGTAATAACTCCATCCCTATCATGCCATAAGTACGTGTATTTTCAGCAATCAGTCTCACGGCCTTTAAATTTTGAATAACATTTAAATTGAGTCTTCAATTCAGTTGATGCGTTTACGACGCAAAATTAATAAAATTAGTTTCATCAATTTATTAATTTATTCTATACAATCAATTTATTTCGGCGCAGATATTTTTTTGTGTACGTTGCCCCTTCCACTTTTTCTGTCAATCGCGTGCATTGGTTTTCATCGAGACATAACAAAATTAGTTTTATCAATTTATTTATTTATTCTATACAATTAATTTATTTCGGCGCAGATATTTTTTTATATACGTTGCCCCTTCCACTTTTTCTGTCAATCGCGTGCATTGGTTTTCATCGAGACATAACAAAATTAGTTTTATCAATTTATTTATTTATTCTATACAATTAATTTATTTCAGCGCAGATATTTTTTTGTGTGTTGCCCCTTCCACTTTTTCTGTCAATCGCGTGCATTGGTTTTCATCGAGACATAACAAAATTAGTTTTATCAATTTATTTATTTATTCTATACAATTAATTTATTTCAGCGCAGATATTTTTTTGTGTACGTTGCCCCTTCCACTTTTTCTGTCAATCGCGTGCATTGGTTTTCATCGAGACATAACAAAATTAGTTTCATCAATTTATTTATTTATTCTATACAATTAATTTATTTCAGCGCAGATATTTTTTTGTGTACGTTGCCCCTTCCACTTTTTCTGTCAATCGCGTGCATTGGTCTTTCATCGAGATATAACAAAATTAGTTTTATCAATTTATTTATTTATTCTATACAATTAATTTACTTCGGCGCAGATATTTTTTTATATACGTTGCCCCTTCCACTTTTTCTATCAATCGCGTGCATTGGTCTTTCATCGAGACATAACAAAATTAGTTTCATCAATTTATTTATTTATTCTGTACAATTAATTTATTTCGGCGCAGATATTTTTTTGTGTACGTTGCCCCTTCCACTTTTTCTGTCAATCGCGTGCATTGGTCTTTCATCGAGACATAACAAAATTAGTTTTATCAATTTATTTATTTATTCTATACAATTAATTTATTTCGGCGCAGATATTTTTTTGTGTACGTTGCCCCTTCCACTTTTTCTGTCAATCGCGTGCATTGGTTTTTCATCGAGACATAACAAAATTAGTTTTATCCATTTATTTATTTATTCTATACAATTAATTTATTTCGGCGCAGATATTTTTTTGTGTGTTGCCCCTTCCACTTTTTCTGTCAATCGCGTGCATTGGTCTTTCATCGAGACATATGACTATGTGTGAATGCGTATATATACATTGGACTTGCCTCTCCTCTCGTGCCACCTCCCACCAATGACCAACAGTAACGTCTGGGCCCCACGCAGAACAGAAGTGAAGTGAAGACTCGGGACTCAATCCACAATTCGGAGTGGCTTCAACTACAGGAGAAAATACACTCATCCGTTTCTAAACCAAAGCAGAGACTAGCGACTAGCCGTTCTTTCGCCGTTTTGAATTCTCTTCTCGTCGAAAAACGGACTCATTAAACCCGTCAAGTTGTTATCCAACGGTTAATAATTAGTGTTAATAATTGTGCATTTTGAAAGAGTAAATAGTGCACAAAACTGGAGAATCGCCGCGAGTTATTGGGAATTTCAGGTGAGTTTTTAACTTTCAATCAAGTCAGTGTAATGTGAAATTGAGGCGAGAGACAATGGTTGTAGAATAAGAGAGTTCATGATGCCAATGGGACTTTCTATTTCGAAATTTCACTACGATAGCTAAGTAAATAGTGTGATTGACTTCGATTGATCGGAATATTTCATAATTACTTTAATGTTTTTATCGTTTTTACGTTGAATACTTGTTTTGGTATTACGAAAAGTGGTTTTGAAATGTCCACTGTTTGTGTTTCATTGAAATCGTTCATTTATTTGTTGTTTTATTGTCTCGGTTTTTTATGGTGAGACGGGTATTTTTTGTCAGCACCTGCTGCAAATGCAGGGAGGTAAGAAGCCCTTTGGAAATTAGATAATCAACGGACCGAGGGACAGGGTTCATTCTGTTGTCTATGCACCTGTTGTGAGACGGAACAGCGGAAATAACTCGACTCTTTCATCCTGGAAATTCTTTTCGTTCTGTTCGTGGAGAACAACACAAAAATAAGGCGCGAGGGGTTACCAACGTAGGTCAGACGGGCGAATGTCTTATTCTCGTTCAGTTGAATATTTCTCGTTTTCAAAACACTCATTTCGATGTCTTTTATCTAAATCAATGAAAACGAGAGGTATTCCATGTCAAATGAGTCAACGGCTGACTCTTAACTGTCGGAAAATGATTTCAATTTTTTCTGAGATTGGGGACTAGAAAAACTATCTCTCAATTTTTTTCAGATTTTTTTAACAGCCCATTTCGGAGATATCATTTTTTCTTAGTTTTTTCGTTTTTTTTTTAATAACTCCAGGTCTATTAATCCGATTTTGATTTATGACACGTCAATATTTTCGATTTCCTACCATCTGTAAGAATGTTTTGAGTAATTTTTTTTTCGATCTCTAAGTGCTCATAATACTGAATTAAAAAAAAAAAGTTGAAAAACTTGATTTTTTTAAATTATGTCATTTTGTAAAGCATTTTGTGAAAACGCTAATCGGTTGTATAGATAAAAAGAATAGATTAAAGTAATGCACTGTTAGAAAAAAAATGAAATTTCATGGACAGTTGACCAGGGATAGCCAAATTTGTAATATTTTATTCCCGTTTAATATTGCCTTCAATTAGTTAACATCACTCTTAAATTTTTTGAGTACTTAAGTATCATCAATTCAAATATTCAAATTCTCAACTATTTTAACCATCAAAAATTGAGGTAGGAAAATTGATGATTATTTGTGTAATCGAAAATCCTATTTTAAGAAATTTGAAAAATTCATTTAGTAGCAAATTTACAGTTTCATATTAACAAATTTTAAATACGTCATTATTCGAAAAAATTAGATATTATATTATTTGAAAAATTGGATCAACATATTTTAAACCTTCATTAATGTAAGGGTCAAATCCTTGTAATATTACAGGAATTTAATATTGATGGGGATCCCTGCCGTTGACTGCCAATTTTCAGGACAGTGACACTGAATGCGATTTAGGGGAAAAAAATCAGGAAATTTCAGGTTTCACTGCAAATTCAGTAAAATTCCAGAATTTTAAGGGGTAAAAAGACGAGAATTCCTTAATTCATTTAAATTTCCAATCTAATACGAATATTCAGTGTCAAATTGCATTGAATTTTCAGTGAAATCTAAAATTTCACAATTTTTTCCCCCTAGACCGCGTTCAGTGTCACTGAAAATTCAAGAATATATTTACCAGAATTTTCTGCCCAGAAAAAACTGACCACTTCGGGAAACCCATTTTTCGGGGAAAAATGGACCGGAAATTTCCACACTGATAGAATGATTAATTTATTCCAAACGAGATTCGTTGACTATTAACGAATGGTGGAGTTGAATATGACCAAATGAATATTCGTTAATAGTTAACGAATGGTACGAATATACATTCGTTAACTATTAATGAATGAACATTTGGTGGGACCGAATAGACCCTAACCTCCAACCAAAATCCATTCGTTAACAGTAATCCGTTCTCTCACTGCACTTCTGTTTGAATTTTCCACGAAATTCGGAATTTTCAATGACAAGATTTCCTGAAATTTCAGTGGCATTGCGACACGATAAAAATTTCCGGGATTTGGCCCGGAAACTTCAGACAACAATTTTTAACAGTGTGAAGATGACATTTAACTAAGTTAACAATCTGACAGAATTAGTTAAAAAGAAATCCTATTCAATTTAATTAAATGAAGTGAACAATGAATTATACATGATGGAAGGAAATGATGTGCACAGCAACCACTCGGATGCATATTGCTAATTTATTGGCAAAAATAACTACTATATGCCATACAAGAGTAATTTCCCACTTGTTTCATAAAAAGCTTTGTAATCACTCTAGCTTCTGCAAAAATCGAGTCATCAACTTGTTTTTTTTAATAAAATCGTGAATGAACAACTGGTCTAGGGTGACCAGGCCAATTGCTGAATGGTTAAAGGAAATTCGATTTTCGTGGTAGGATCTAAAATAAAAGAATGACCTAAATGGGGATATGATGGGTACCATACCTTCAAGAGTGTTTTAATTGGCAGAAAAAAATTGTTTAAATTGAAAATAACAAAACAAAGAATAATTAAATTGAGAAATAATTGAATGTAGCCGAAACCCCCAATTTCTGGACGACTGAGTCACATTTTTTTTAATTTATTAAATATTGATCAATAGAAGAAGATAATTGATCACATGATTATACACAAGTGATATTATGGAGAGGTGAAATAATTAATATAATTTTCATTTTATTTGTGGAATATTCAATGCAAGTTGAAATCGTCCAGAAATTGATCTGTTTACCCTACCCCAGAAATATTACGAAAAGAGCATTCGGAAAGAAAGTACTTCCAAAATAAAAAACAAAATGATGATCGATGATTTATTGTCATAATTATTTTCATTCTTGTCTTTCAGACAGCATCAACCGGTTTCCGGTTTCATTTCAATGATGAATTTTGACGGGAAGAAATATAAACATTCTCTCAAGTCCATGAATTGTAAAGAATCATTCATCATTTCTTACTTAGTTTACATTTTCGTACAGTTGGTCTGTAACGGTACACGGGTTATTTCCTGGCTGAATTAGCTGAACGTGGAGCGAAAGCAGGGAAAGTACCTATACTATCTCAATGCATACATACGCATTATACATCTCCACAAAGACAATGAAAAAATTTTTCCCACTATTAAAAGTCCATAAGCGATAATCAACCAAAAGAAAAAAAGCAAATAAAAAGTAAAATGACGCCCACTACCGTGCAGTGATGATAAGATTCAGGCGAGCTATCAGCATCACTCGTTTGATAATTAATTCATGCTCTAAAAATAAATGTTTCACTTCTGCTAATTGAACAAGGGCAACTTTCAATATTAAATAATTTGAATATTAATTTCTTTTTCCTTTTGAACTAAATTTTCCAGTGTTATTTAAATAATGAAGAAATCATGATTGCAATGTTCAATTGCACTTCATGTGATTGAGAAATCACGGAAACGATTGATAGATGTATAATTGTAATGTATAATTATTCTTTTCAAGGTTGTATGGGTTAAATTTGCGTGGAGATGAGACGTATGAATAGGTGATTAGAGATCGCGCTTGTTGACATTGACAAACAAATTTTCCCACTCGCCATTATTATTATATTATTATTATTATTATTAAGATATCCGCTTGTGCACATATTAATATTATTATTATTATTATTATTATTATTATTACTAGGGGAAACATTATTGCTTGTGCACAAGCGGATATCTTGATTTTCGCACAAGCTAGCGTGATTACAATTTTTTTTGTAATAAAAAAAATACACGGAGAAAAATGTTCAATAAAAATTATGGAACTCATAATTTGCTCACTTTATGGAATCGACTCAGACAATTTAAGTGACGGTATGGTAATTTAAAAAATTACGAAACGCTCTGGAAAAATTCTGTGACAGTTCCGTAAAATTTTCTACAACCGCATTTCGCTCTGGAATTACGGAAAAGATACGTTATTTTTATTGAATATTTCTCTCCGTGCAGAAAAACGGGAATATCTCCAAAACTTTGTACGAACAGGTGTATATATTTGATTGATTTAGATTGAAAGCATCGAAACGAATATTTTGAAAACAAAAAAATCGAAATCGGTCCACTAGTTTTGAAGATTACTGCGGAAAACGATCTAAAAACGAATGGCTTTTTCTCAAAAACTATTTGTTTGATGGATTGCTGAAATTTTGCACAGAGTTAGTCCTCATTAAGACCTATATCTGACAAAATTTAAGATTTTTTGGAATTTTTAGCCACTTAATTACTCAATTTGGTGGCGGTGGTTCTACGCTTACGTACAGACATGCTCCCCAAACTTCGTATTTTTACGTTTCAGGCGATTCTACATAATTGCCAATCAAAATTAGAGAATGTCAAAATTCGACGATTACAATGCTTCCATTCGGAAGCAAAAATCTCTATTTTCTTTTTATTCTCATCATCAGAATAATGTCATTCTTCACTTTACAGCATCTTTAACAGGGAATAGATGGTTTTGTGGAAGGCGTATTTATCTCCTGTAGAATGAAAATGACGGGCTTCCGTGCCCGTGTTTTTTCGTATCCAAGGCTAAATACTCTTTACTTACTGACACTACCATCCTCCGTTGCCTCTTTGTACACCGCTCCTCCCTCTTTACTTTTTTTCCACCGTCCTTTGTATGAGATCCTATCAATTAGCCCCTCATGTATAGATATTCTAAATTTTTATTTTTTTCCTCATTGAAGTAGTTTTGAAAAAAATTGCGAGCTTATAAAAAACATTTGCTAGTTAGTACTTTTTTTAAAATAAATTTTGAAAAATCACCTTTGAAAAAAAAAGGCGTTATCCCCTCTATTTCATTATTTCCAAAAAAATTTATCACCAATCGATAGCAAATTGTTTGAAGATTTTTGCGAGTTAAGAAAAAATCGTCAATGCAATCCTATTATTGTGTAAATCAACAATTC